TGACAGTTAAGGGCCATAATTCAAATAAATCAAATCTTTGACAGAATTACCATTCTGCCTGGACATGTTTGGGAATCATGATTGTAAACAAGTATTCCCAACTTTCAAATTAATATCTCAAACAGTTCAGTCAAAAAAGTGGACTGGTACTAAAAACTTAACCAAGATTAATCGATAAGGCTTAGACTGAAACATGATACCCATTTCAAAGCTTAACAATTATTGGTATTTACACATATCAATGGATGCTTCTCGGGAAAAGAAAAAAATCCCTACAGCTACCTTGGTGAAGAAGAAAAAACTGTTTCTATATAGAGTGATTTCCAAGGTTTAAACCATGAAATTCTGAATTAAGTGTTTATTAAAACTGAAATACAGTTTGGTAATTTGAACGTCTTCGTAATTCTCTAGCATTGGCTTGTCTTCTTATATTTCATCCATGTCTTGGTATTCTGATAGGATGTATCACTCAAGTCATTATTTAAATCTAGAAAATAGAAAATGTAATACATTTTGTTTTGTTCTTTTATCATTGTTTCGTAAAACTTGTTCGTTGATGATGCGGACATATTGTTTTAAGTGACTTATGCAAGAACAGTGTGAAGTTCAAAATAAAATCGAATTGATTGAATATCTATAAACGGTTGAAAGCGGCAGTATTCATTTCAGACAATATTCGTAGATACTTGATTTAATTTGGTATTTACTGAAACAGTTTTGTATTCTATTGTAAAACAATGAACCTTTTCCATTTGGCCTTAGATAAAATCTAAGTACTTGACATTTTAGGCTTTCACAAGAGACCTTGGTGTGTCAGCATAAAGTGGAAATTGACTTTCGTTTTTTTTGTGACCTCTTTTTTGTGTCTGTGAACTACATACGAGAGAAGTGTATGGTCGGAAAAACAGTCTCAAATCATCAAGTGCTCTCTGTGTCAATCAATCTGCCACTTCAGATAAAAAAGAATTATTGTTTGGCAATTTTCGGTGATAAAAGCTTAAATTAAAAAGGAATTGGTCACTTAAATAATAGTTTATACTTAAAAGAAGAAGAAGAAAAAACACACATAAAAATCAATAAGCGAAATGGTTGACTTCAACATCTCTTGAAATTCTTTCAATTTCTTTGAACCAGTTAGCCAATTAAAAGCAAGAGCAATAAGTATTGTTTTCATAATTTGATTGTATATTCCATGGCCAAGTCTTTAAACAATAACTTTTGAAAAGAATGCTATGCCACAGCATTTATTCTAAATACACTTATTAGTATGAATCGAGGTAGATTTGTTTTGTTTCTATACAATTGCGAGATGCCATAGTAAAAGTGCCTGGTGAACTTGGGAATCAAGGTCATCTGTCAGCATTTCAAATGAAGGACAGTGTTCAGATGTGTCTAATATTGAGATTAAACTACCGAGCGGTCTAGTAAATCACTTACCGAGCGCTTAACAGATACCTTCTATTGTTTTCTATACAAAAGAATGTGTGAAGTCGAGTTGTTGTCGTGCTTTTCAAAATTAAGCATTACATAATCGTCACCCCCGTTACGCTGGAATGTTGATATGAGCCGTGTCATGACAAAACCAACATAATGGGTTTGCGACCAGCATGGATCCAGACCAGCCTGCGCAGTCTGATCAGGATCCATGCTGTTCGCTATCAGCTTCTCTTTTTGTAATAGGGTTTGTAAGCGAACAGCATGGATCCTGATCAGATTATGTTGGTTTTGTCATGACGTGGCTCAAATAATGTACGAATAATTGATAAAATAACGCTGAATTTTGCTGATCTATGGGGGTGGGATGGCCACTTCGAATAGGTAAAATGACCGTATATATAAATTTTTGAAGTACATGTGGAAATGAATTAGCGCACACGGCTGCTAGGACATTATATTCTAGCTTTCATAACATATGTTTCCAGGATTGGTTTTGATTTCGAAAACGAACTGGTTACCATTCTTGTGTGGAAGCGTTTGTTTCACCGCTATTAATGAGTAAATTAACGCACATTTAGGCTTTCTTTATAGGTTGTTTTTCAGTAATACTAACACATTTGCCGAAGTATATAACTTCATATAATACTAGTTTTCGACGTTATTTCCACAATTTTTTTGTGATTTTTTTTTAACAATCCTGAGTTATTGTAACAAGTCTGCATGTATTATTGCTGTATTCCGTGTCAAAGTCAACTTCTGCATATCTCTTACCAAAAATATTACTTTATGTGAGAGTATAGTTTGTTTTGAGTATAATAATTATTATTTTTTTGTCCATTAAAATTGTTCTAATTAATTGCATAAAAATTTGGATTTTATCATCCAGTACTCGCCCGTTCTCCGGAAATATATGGTTTGCGCTCAGCTCACGACCCATGTCCGCGTGTTTAAAGGGATGATGCTAATAAAAAATGAAAGTCTAAGCATACTTTTAGTACGTAAGTGTATTTAAAATCTTTCAAACGCCAATATAATATATTTACAACAAAAAAGAACAAAACAAAAGAAACAAAAAAAAAATAACAATAAAAAAAAGAACAAAAATCAAACAAAAAACAACCTTACGAGATTAAAGACATGTTTTTCTACTAGTATTTATTCATAGAAACGTATCACTTAGTTTCTTTAGTTTCTTTTGAAAATAACCGTATATTTTATATAAAAAATAGCATGATAATCCATTTACCATGGAATTATTTATTTACAATTTTTTACATTTTTAGGACAAGAAAACTTTTTTATTTGTCAACACATGTCAGCCTTTATATTTATTTTTATTTATAATCATTATATTAATGATACATACTACAAAATAATGATCTTACCTTTGCCCTCTATATATCACGATTTGCAACAGAATCTCAACAAGTTCTGTTATCATTTTTTTTGTAACTTAACTGGCCTACCATGAAAAACACGAGATTTAAAAAAAAAACACCTGATTTGTTGACTAATGAATTACAAGAGCGTAGCGGTTGGTATCTTTGAATGGCATTGACATGCTTCCTTAAACGTTCAAGTACATAAATAATAGGTTTCTTTTCAATAATATTGATAAATACTGAGTTAAAAACAAATGCTTGGATTGAAAACAAATGAGCATACAGGTTAGATAGTTACTGCACTCGAAATAGGTCTGCATAGTATTTACAGACCCCAGTGGCCTTTTAAAAACCTCAATCGCTACGCTCTCTCGGTCTCCAAATCGCAACCCGGGTCTATAAATACTATGCAGGCCTATTCCTCATAGTAAAATAATTGATTCAAATAAAAGTATTTCTACTTGATTATTTACTGTATGTCATCATTATTTATATAAATGGTGTGAATAATAATAACATTTAAATGTTCTCTTGCTAGAAGTCATGACCTCGAATAAATTCATAAGATTTTCTGAACTGCTAAGTAATGACCTTTAGACAAACTCACAGCTATTGATTATTTTTGTTAGATATACAGAAAACATAACATGTAAGCATGTACAAAACGGTTACGATGGCCGTTATATCTCTCACCTAAATACAAATACTCTTAAAGTTACATTAAATAAATATGTAAAAATATTTTGCCGTCGGCCTAATAACCAAGCATTCTACTGTTTTATTAACCTTATTAACAGTATTTATGAAACTTCATAGAAATTTCCACCACAAGAAGATGCCGTGTCAAAAGCATACACTAGGGCTGTAGGTCAAAGGTCAGGGTCAAACAAATGGGTCAATGAAAAATGTTTGTCATGAGCAAAATTTCTGCATGCAAAGACGGAATTTAATTTAAGTTAGTACAAATGTTAACAACTGTTAGGCAGGGTGTCAGGCGCAAATTCAGGTCACTGCAGCTAAGGTTAATGTTACATATAGGGGTCAAAGTTCAGGTAAAAATAAAGATGTGTATAGGCACCATTTAGTTATCATTTTTTAGGAAATGTATTACAAATGGTCATTGTCATGAAAACCGTCATGGCACTTGTATTTTAGGTCAATTTATGCACTGTCACTAAAGGTGATTTTGTCTGGAGAATAACAACTACTTGCATGGAAGAAGTTTTTATAATACTTTATAGAAATGTTCAACACCACTAAATGTACGGCTTCATACATGATACAGTTTAAAGGCCAAAAGCTTTTATGACGAGCGTATTTTGTGACAATTTTGTCATTGTTACTAACTGATTCTAAACCAAAGTCGATTTCTTCACCACTTTATACTATTGTCGATATCTTTAGGGTTTTTTTTTAATTCTATAATCGATATGTTCCTTTTTACTTTTAGCTATGTTATCACTTATCTTTATCATACTGGAGTCACTTTTCACTTATTTCTTCTTTACTACATGCTGTATTTTTTATTTTTCGATGTTTTTCACTTGATTCTGGTTTACACTTTTGTAGATATTTTCACTTTTTTATGATTTAAGTTTTTTTATATGTTTACTTGTTTCGTCTAAATACTTCTTTGATATCGAGATTACTCCTGTTGATATTTTTGCATGTGTTTTCTGATTTTATTTTGTGGGTATTTTGACTTATTTTTTTCTACATACAATGGCCGATATTTAAACTTGTTTCTTCTCTATACTACTGTTCATATTTTCATTAATTTCTTCAAAATACTTTAGTCGATATTTTTGCTTGTGTTTTCGTTAATTTCGTCGATATTTTCATTTATTTCGTCTTTGATGCAGTCGATATTGTCAATATTCTAGCTTATTTCCTCCATCAACTTTTGTCGATATGTTAATTCATTTCATCTATTTACTTTTGTCAACTTTTATCCATATTTTCAATTATTTCACTTTTATACTGTTGACCATATTTCAACTTAAGTTTTCTATTCTGTTATCGACATTTCACTTATCACTTCTTTAATATATGCCATGCACTTATCTTGTTCCTACGTTTGCACTTGTTTCTTCTTTTTTGCACTAGATACTCGTTTCTTTTATACCAAATACGATTAGCCAACTATTTTTCTATTATAAATATTGTATTTCTTCCAGAAAAGTATTGCAATTATGCAGGTAATAGTTTCGATAATGGCAAGCTGATAGAAGAGTGGCAAATAAACACGACAATGTATCGAAAATATCAGTGTCGGACAGATTATATCAGTAATATTCCAGACTTGGGGGATATTGAGTTTAAGTGCATTTTCATTCCGATGTTAGGATCATATGAATGGAGAGCCACTACAGCTTCAATAACTGAAGGCGGTTATTTATATCTACGAAATGTGACATGCAAAAGTATGTATTTTATGTATTTCTAATCGTAGTAATAAAACATCAGTAGTCAGAATCATTTTTAACATAGAGTTGTGTTTGTAATACATCTGTTATCCAACACAATAGAAACATTTAATAATAAATAGATACGTATATATATGCGTATGCATATCGTTTCAGTATTTTGACCCGGTCGTTTCTTATTACTATTCAAAGTATTAATTTTAGTGAATGTCTTTCCTCTCTCTCTTCCGTGTGTTTAGATGAGTAATTCTATGTATTAATGTATACACCATTTTATGTTAATATGCTTTTGAGTGGATTACTGATTTATCCGTGAAAATTATATTTGATAATTTCACAGTGAAAATTATCAAAATATGATTTCACACTTTTCAATGACAAAACTACTTTTTTTTAAGATTTCCCCATGTGGTACCTTTATTTTATTTATGCTGACAATTCTGGCATTGCCATGGCTATTTAGGGAAAGTAAAGCTGAAATTGATATATAACTTAAATTTTTCATTCTATATGATCTACATACCTACCGAATACAATTTAGAGATTTAAAATGAAACATTACCATATCGATGTTATTACATATTTGAATACATACATATGCGTGTTACATTGACTTTTCAATATTACTAGCAATGAAAACATGTTCAGACCCACCATTGCCAAAGAACATGACTAGAGAAATAACGACTAGGTACCTAATCCCGGTCACCATCAATAACGATAAGAGAGGCATACACGATTTCTACACTGGTGATACAATAAAGTACGGATGTAAACCCGGGTAAATACTGTCTCAATGTATTTGTTTTGTATTATATCACATGACGAGACTCTTATTTAATGGTTCTCTTATCTAACAATGAGTTTTTCTTTGCTACGATCGTTACCATACAAAGCTTAATATTCACTTAAAGTAGAATATAATCAATCAGTGCAAGGGAGTTCACAAATACAACTCTAAATACGACTTTGTTACGGATATGAGCCAAAGAATGATATAACCAGGAGAATGGGAGATGGGAAATCTTACAGTGAAGGATGAATTGAGGCATAGTAAAAAAATATGACTTTGATATAGAAAAAAGATGTCTAAAATAATGAGCAACAAGCCAAAAAATAGAGGACTAGTTTGTTTCTATCTTTTTGTTAACATTTCAAAACTTCCGTTAAGATACTTAAACGTCTACTAAGGATATTCGCTTGTGACCTCACATTTGTTTTGAATGTCTTTCTGTTCTACATGAAATAAGTGAAAGGATATTTAATTTGTATATTCTAATTGTTAAAAGTCATAATCTTCAAGTATTCAAGCAAATTAATTGACATGATTTTGTTTTTGCTGTAGAACATGATCTACCAAAGCGAAGAAGTATTAAACATGTACAACATTTTTGCAGTTATATACTATCGAATGAATTGGATACATTATTCCTTTCTGATGTTAACTACTTTGACTATGACGAATCAACAACAACAACAACAACGACAACTGCAGCACCTGTCACAGTGTTAAAGCAAATCACTTGCAATGGGAATGGATTTTGGAACGGCTTTCCCGATTCTGAATTGTTCTTCGGTGAATGTCAAGGTAAATGTTGACCTATTGTTAAAACAACCCATTGCCTGTAATAGCCTGTTCGAGGGGGTAGGGGGTTATTTGTAGAAAAAATGATACAAATCGTAATTGTTTAATTTTTGTTTATTTTGATCCACGCGTGCTTCGCCTCGCCGATTTAATCATAACACATTTTAGATGCCCGTACTGTGTTACCCCGGGGGCATCCACATCATACATGTATGTATATATACAAGACAGTAATAAGATTAATATTTTTATTATTTATTGAATTTAGAAAGATATAGAACGAAAAGAGAAGATAATACCTGAAAATAAAAATCATGTATGAGTTGACGATGTTTTCTTTTGTATTAGTGGATGATTTAGTTATGATGTAGTTATGCAACTTAATATAATTATACAATAAGATAATTTACATCTGCCCATCTATTATTTTTTTATAATGTCACATTTGTATTTTAATAAACATTCCAAACTAATTCAAATCTATTTTTAAAACCAGTACAAGAATAAGTGTTCCTTCTTGACATTCACAAAAAAGTGCACATTCCGAAATAAGCTTCTTTTATTTTTTCAAACAAAAGAGACTTTATTTCCAATATTGTCCAGTATGATCTCCATGTTTCTTGACATGTTGGCACCTCTGTAGTTTTTACCATTTTTTCATAAACCTGTTCAGGAGTGTTACAGACAACTTTGATTGGTGTGATTTAACAACTTATAATAGGATATTCAACATACAGTAAGTCATGTTGAATCAGATATTAAGGTTCTGTGTGTTTTTGTTATTGCCAGTTTCAAACTATGACAATGCATAAAAATAATTGGCTTACATGTAATTTGTTCTAAGTAACGGATCTTGATTGGAAATGTCTTTTACAAATCTAAAACTATGATCAGATAAAGTTTTAAAGAAAAAGAAAAGCATCAGTTCCTTTTATCAATTTATGGTCATTTAATAGTCGCATATGCAGCACATGTTTAATATCATCTATGTAAAGCTTATTAATCAGTACAATATAGACTTTCAATACACCAGTGCAGAAACTCTTTAATCGTATTTATAATCATATCACAAACCATAAATTCAATCATATTAGACACTTTCTTTCAATGTCATTGTTATAACTGATTTCATAAGTTTGCCTTGTCTCCCCATGTAAATTCATGAAATAAATCATTGTCTTTAAAAAAAAAGCTGCACTAGGAGTTGGCAAACTTATAATGTGTAAATAAAATAAGTAAAGTAGACTAAACAACAGTGCTTTAACCTATTGGTGTTAACGTTCATTTTCCAATTTTGAAGATGTTTTAATAGTGATGTTTCATCTGCAATTTTGTAATTATATATTCCTCACCATCGATAAGTATACCTCTTACATTTTTTTTTTATTTTAATAGTCAGTATTTCTAGTGTTACAGACAACTTTGATTGGTGTGATTTAACAACTTATAATAGGATATTGAACATACAGTAAGTCATGTTTGAATCAGATATTAAGGTTCTGTGTGTTTTTTGTTATTGCCAGTTTCAAACTATGACAATGCATAAAAATAATTGGCTTACATGTAATTTGTTCTACGTAACGTATCTTGATTGGAAATGTCATTTACAAATCTAAACCCATGATCATATATAAGTTTTAAAGAAAAAAGAAAAGCATCAGTTCCTTTTATCAATTTATGGTCATTTAATAGTCGCATATGCAGCACATGTTTAATATCATCTATGTAAAGCTTATTAATCAGTACAAAATAGACTTTCAATACACCAGTGCAGAAACTCTTTAATCGTATTAATAATCATATCACAATACCATAAATTCAATCATATTAGACACTTTCTTTCAATGTCATTGTTATAACTGATTTCATAAGTTTGCCTTGTCTCCCCATGTAAATTCATGAAATAAACCATTGTCTTTAAAAAAAAGCTGCACTAGGAGTTGGCAAACTTATAATGTGTAAATAAAATAAGTAAAGTAGACTAAATAACAGTGCTTTACCTATTGGTGATAACGTTTATTTTCCAATACATTTTTTTTTCATTTTGAAGATTTTTTAATAGTGATGTTTCATCTGCAATTTTGTAATTATATATTCTTCACCATCGATAAGTATACCTCTTACATTTTTTTTTTATTTTAATAGTCAATATTTCTGAGCATAAGATGTTAATAGATCACCTTGCTTACAGCCTCATCTAATTCTAATTTTGAGGAATGTAGATAAAATACAATTTAGTATAGCTGTAGTATAGTATATTTTCTAATTTCTTTCGGTCGTTTTTGTTTGGAAGACATGTAATTGTTCATAGTTTTTGACTTCTTGAAAAAGTATCTTCATTATTAGCATAATTCTGTCAAATTGTCAAATTCTGCTCCAAAACGTTTTGAAACATTTTTTTGTTAACCCATCACAACCTGGACTTTAATCATTTTTCATATTTATTAATTTTAAAGAAACTTCATAATATGAGAGTAAACTTTTAAGCTTTGACATTCATCATTACTTAACTTAGCAACAATTTCTCACATCTCTATAATCAATCTTTGACTCTACAGTCAAATTAACCTCATAATGCACATTTTCATATTAACAACAAGTTTTTTTTTCTAATATATCCTTTTGGTAATAAATTAATGTTCCATCGCCCATGTCTATTAAAGGTATCACTTTTTCTGAGCAATGTGATTTCTCTAAACTTCTATTCATTTTGATCTTGACCTAATCATAGCTTCTCTTAAATTGTAACATTGAATTGCAAAGGGCATTCTGATATAAAATGTACGATAACTTATATTTTGTAAGCGTAACTGAGCAAAAGTGCTAAGAGGTAAGCTTATGTGATTATTTTTCCGTCGTCTGACGTACATCGACAGTCGTTATCAACAATTTTTTTCTATCAAATTAACATATCATGTTAAACCACACGATTGATTTTTCAACTTCACAGGAATTGTATTACCGTCTTTTAAAATTGTATAAAATTATGAAGGACTAATAACTAAAATAGAACTAAGCATTAAGTTGAAATATTTATATTTATCTATGATTATATAGACCTTTTGCATATAGAATTACTTTACAGCATTTCTCTCGAGTCAATGTATGTCCACCCTGGGAGTCAGTTAGCCTATAGAGTCTATTACAGGAAAATATATTTAAACTTTCTTATGCCGAAAGCATTTGTATATAACATGAAGTGTGCTTAGTAAATCTCTTCTTAAAACATATAAATAAAGCCCATTTGACGACATGGCTCTACTCTACAACCCCCCCCCCCCCCCAAAAAAAAAAAACAAAACGATTTCTGCATTAAAGAATCACGATCTTTACAAGCAGTAGACCTGGAATGATTGATTTAAATTTATCGTTGCCCTCTTGCTATAAAGAAACAATTTTATAATAACAACATATTTCTATATAATGCTGTTAAAGGAATGATAAACTTTTTGTATTTAAGTTTACACAAAAGCAGGTTGTAATGTCTAAATGACGGCAGGACTTATGGATTACATACATCAGAAATCATTGACAAAAACATCAGGTGTTGTTACATTAAAGCAAAATTTTAATATTTTGTGTTTCAGCAATAGAATGTGATGCAACTCCTTTTGCTGAAATAAGTAATGGTAATATTACCAACTTTAAAGCAACTTACGAATTTCTTGAAGAGATGACATTAGAATGCGATGACGGATATCGGCATATCGGCGGCGTTAATTCTGCTATTTGCTCGACACCATCAAGCTTCAGCGAATTATTTTATTTGAGTAATTTTGGCTGCGAACGTGAGTGTTATTCGGAACTGTTTGCATTTGTTTTATCTTACTTCTTATTTGTATTTTTTTCTTTTTAATTTTCAAAAAAGGAACGGATGACATTTACACTATTTGGTTACGATAAAGTCTTCTATATGAATGTATTTTTTTATTATTAGTTTAGAACTTTTTATTGGCTTGATTTTAAATGGTACTTACAAATTAATTAAGAAAACAGAAATTATTTGAAAACGTAAGGTGAACATTCATGGATGTCTCATTATTTCAGGAATCTATTGTATTGAACCGGAGAGCCCAAGCAACGGCTTTCTAAGAATGGACCATAACTATGTTAATGGAACAGTTATTTACGAATGCGAATCCGGTTATGACATAATTGGATATCCGGAGTGGAGATGCCAATCAAACGGAAAATGGGACCACGATTGTGTAAAATGTGCCAGTGAAGGTAACTCATAATTATCACACATCGTCAACAGATGGTGTTTGAATTTTCCAGATAGGTGTCATATATGCTTACACATAATATGTTCTTAGCTATTGAACAAATTTAACACATTTATTTAAAACAATGTCTGCGGATAAAAATTTCATTTAATTGCTTTCAAAGAGATGTTCATATTATATGAGTTTCTATGTTTCGAAAATATGGTCTGCACTATTTGAGTCGGTAAATGAATTTGAAATTTTCCTCGAAATGATCAATAGTTTTGTCTAGATTAAAACATTGGCAAGCCATGTTATGGTACTTTGTGTGGTAAAAGTACGTTTGATCATGATTGTCTTCAGATGCATACTGTTCTCCGCCGTGTTTGCCACCTGGAGCTATGATTACAAATTCTTCAGGGAGTTTTCAGATGGGTGGCGTGCTACATTTTACATGTAAATCCGGCAAAATATATGGAGGATCTACTAATCGGACCTGCATGAAGAATAGATACTGGAGTGGCACCCCTATAGATTGTACAGGTAAGTTACGTAATACACTGCATGCAATCCGTAAATGATATCATATAACTAGTAATTTTCAATTCGTTTAAATAGCTTAACATATATTCGCTCGATTGCCCGACATACCGAATGTATTAAGTTACAGATGTGAGGAAGCACAAATTGTTAAGATACTTTGAATATTTTCACGTACAAAAATTTTAACAGGATGATATGTTTTGTGAGACATGGTCCTTACTTACACAAAATACCTCCCATTTAACCAAGAACACACTTATTCGAAATTATTGATAAGATGCCTCCTCCCCACTCCGACCATGTTGCATATTTGATTTCAATATAAGTCATTATGATAAGAACGAATGTATGTTTATGATTCACAGGGGCGTCTTTGTTTGATTCTTTTGTGGGGATAGAACTGTTATCAGCTATGAAACAGATTTCAGAAAACAGAACGGAGGATTCGGTTAAAAAAGATACTACCATTGGTATGAACATGGACAGCGTAGACGTTTACCTGCTTGTTGACATATCTAAAAGTATTACACGGGAAAAGTTAAACACAACTTTAACTTTTCTATTAGCTTTAATCACAGAGGTATTGATTTCACTTATTCAACTCAAAAAGTAAACTTAATTTTTAAACAAATCACTTAAAGAACGTCACTGAGAAAGACAGGCAATCTAAAACTTGGCACTTTATCCCTTAGTTACATCAAATCAATATGTTGTTATGTTGTATTATGACGAGCTCAAATTATCTTTGAAATAACAACACATACAAAAAACTGAAAAAATCCAAAAAACTATAAAAAAAAAAACAACACGAAATTACAACCGATACGTAAAAACTTACTCTTATCATACATTATTTTGGCAAATACGGAGGATGATTCTTTATTGGGATTGTTAAAACGTGAAATTGTCAATACTGGTTAGTGCGGAGACGGCTTAATACGGAGACTGATAAACTGTTAAACGTGGGGTCTTGTCATTACGCAGCTGATACAAAAACTGTTTTTCTTCCTATTATGTTAAGAAATAAATCGCAATTAGATACTACTTCTTCCGTTGGTTTACTTCAATTAACATGATGTTCTTTTTCATAGCTCAATATAAGTGATGAAGAGACTGGTACAAGGCTAGCACTAACTTTCTTTGCCTCTAAACCAAAAAGGATGTTTGACCAACATTCAGATTTTGAACCAACACCATTTAGGTCATACAGCGAAGCAATAAAGGAAATTAGAACGTATATGAATAACGAGGAACTACTTAGAATAAGTCAAGAAACCAGTAAGTTGTTTTTTTTTCACTTACATGCAAACATGTACAACTCCGCTGAACGGCATAGATTTATACACACACACAAATCTTTTACTTTTGGACTGTCAAAATAACTATACAATGGTATCTGTTGATCTTGTTTTCTAAATCTTTACACTGAGGTATAGTGTACATTCAAATCGTTAAGATAGCAACTATTTCATGATCAAGCGAGGTTTAAGTGAATATGTTTAGGGAAGGCACTCTGTGTAGCTCTTACTTTTTGGGGGAGAAGAGAATATTGTTGTGGGAAATTGTTGTTTTGAAAGATGTTGTTGAATTTGGTTGAACTTAATTGTGGTGATCTTAATTGACCACGGTTCAATGGTTGTAATAAGTTGCTGCATTACATTTGGTTGTCGAGAAATATTGGTTAAGTAAGATATATTTGGCTTACATTGGTTAAGTTGTATTGAGTGATTTCGTCTTGTCAAAATTCTCAAAGTTTATGCGTTGGTTTTGAAGATATCTGTAAATATTGGTTGTTCTGGTTTAAGTTGTTTTCTGATACTGATTACATTTTGTTAAGTTAATATTTTGTTTGAATAGTTGTGGTTTATAGTATATCTTAGATTTGTAAAATAATTCATTTTGTGTTCTTTATTTTGTTTGAACATAAGTGATTTAGAGCTTTGGCTTGTCATGTGTTTAGTATTTGTTAGTATTATTAGATATTGTGTATAAGTAGGTAATGAATGGGGTGTGTTTGTTTTTGGTGTGAATAATGATCAAAGTTTGTTGTTTTAATGTTTATCTAGATTTTAGATAGAAAAAGATAAAAATACTTAAAAAATAGTCTTAACTAAACAATTCCTTTGCTAGTTATCTATCTGACAATATTTAAATGATAAAATTGGTTATAGTTTTATTATAAACCCCTTTCTTTGATTAAACAACATCAGAGCCAGTCATTCTCCTGACAGAAGCCATAAGCCGCTTTAAATGGAGTATCGTACCGAAGGTTCTATGATGACCACAGTATGAACACATCTGCGGATGTTTTTAAATTCAAAGTTAAATCATTACAATGTTTAAGTGTGAAATTCTCGTTAAGCCGTTACTAAGGGGCGTGAACGGTATCTTTCTCTTTAAAGTAGAGTCCATGAACAGGCTCAATCCAACCGAGCATGCAACATTTTCAATTTTGTCGTGTCGGTGTTCTACAGAGATTCCGTATTTCTCTATTCAAAGAGGAAAATTGCCAGTGCGTGCAATTTAAAACGTTTCAGAGTGTATCATATAGACCTTTCAATCATAGAGCTTTATAATGTGTAATAAAAGTTTTAATTAGGATCGGATTCAAGTTGCCGGCCTTTTATGACTTCATTGGGGGATGCGGCGGACTTTGCCTATAACAATAAGTACACCAATAAAAATACCATATGATGAAATTACTCTTTTAAAGGTTTTATATTTCATATGTTCCAATGACATACTCAAAAAGATGACATTTCTATTACTGTAAAACTAAAAAAGTTGACACATACAAACATATTTGAATTATTAATTCAAATAATCCAAGCTTTGTGTTGTGCTAAAACAATACCTACATTTTTTCTGTAAATTTAATTAGGTTTATTAAATAATGTATGTAAATCATTGAGTTTTTTACATATTGTACTATTCATAATTTGTAAATCTAATACTTGAATTTTTACAAAAGAAATAACATAAAAAAACATAGATAAATAAATTAATAAAAAAATATAGAGATTTGAAATAAAAAGGATTTTCATTACATATTGAACTGTAAAATATGTAATGTATACGCAGATCACGGGACTGCAATAGCAGCGGCATTGGATGACGTACTTGTCCAACTTGGAACTAAATCGGTTATGTTTAAAAGAAATGGTGGCAGGATATCCAAGCAAGTTTTGATTATTATAAGTGACGGTAAGTGACTATTGCTAAACATAATTTTTATTTAAAATATACAGATTAAAGTGGGTGTTTTTTTTAATTCAATTTATAGTATGTTAAATTTTGAGTTCACAACAATATTATACTGGTCATGCGATGACTTTGCAATTTAAACTCCAGTATACTGCGGCAGACACCTTAATACTTTCTGTTTTCCGTTTTGAACTATATATATAATATATTTTTTATCTAATTTCATGTTCGCATATTTTTGGATTCAGGTCCTAAATAATATTTACATTATAGTATAAGATACTTTTACAATTAATAAATTTACAATTGCATACAATTAATTTTGCGAATGATTAAATAATGTAAGAGGAAAAAACAGTGGATAGCTTTGCAACATTTTTTATGGTCTGTATGTGATGTCAATCCATGAATATTTCTTATTTCACACATGGCATAACAAACAACCTAACGCATTAAAACAATATAGCCACTATTGAAAAACTTGCAATTGTAGTGGGCATTTTGCAATGATAATGGTATAAAGTGTAAACAGCTTCGTATTTGCTGTATGTGGAATGCCAAATTATTGTTTAAATTCTGATTAAAGTGATAACAAAATAATTTGTATGAAAACACTTTATTGTATTGAAAGCCCGTGAAACATACATTAAATAATTATAAAAACTACTGAAAAGAACACGAGAGTATTTGTCTCCCAGAACATTTTAATTTGGTAAAGTATAATTTAAATGTTTATTAAAATACTAAGACGATATTTTTTCGTTTGAGTAAAATATGGAATGTTTTTTCAAGAAATATGATAAAATTCCATATATTTTCACGAGCCGTTAGGTAAATATATATACCATATTTCAAGAAAAGTGAAAAAAATACAACCTTTTAATTCAATTTTACCTTCAAGAAAAAAAAAATGAAAAAAAAAAAAAAGATAAAAAAGGGTCACGAAAACTTCCATTTGTTACTCAGTTGCAATTGTACAGCACGCAGTAATACATTGCCTATTTGAAGATGCGGGATGCAGTTCAATACACAATTTATCACAGCCATCTTAAACTGTCTTGGCCGAGTGTCTGAAAAAGTAGTCCCAAAAATTAAAATGAGTTTTGACACCGCCCATTTTCATATTTATTGTTTATATTTATTATTTGTTTTTTTTTACAAATATGATACATATTTAACTGATATACTACCATGTTCCATGTGTAGAATTAAATGAATAGCCATTTTTGTTACATATCTAGCAAGAAAGGACAATACAGATTTAAGAACTTTACTGTTTCTACTTTTCTTATAAGATATTTAATTAGATATGGCTTAAGCATTTGAAAGAGAATTAAAAGGATAGAAAGACATAGTTCAGACCAATGTTCTAAAACTGTTTCATTAACAATTTAGACATCTTCCTTTTCAGTTTTGTCTTTTCTAACAGATTTAAGATTGACGTTCTATGAAATTTTACTATATAACAGGACTATTTACAACAATGGGTGATCCAACTATTGTCGCTTCAAGACTTAAAGTGGATTATGGGGTGGAAATATATTCAATTGCAATTGGGGACCATACAGATACCGCCGGCTTTAATACGATGAGCAACCTGGCTTCACACATTGAAAATGAACAACATTTCTTTCAAATAAGTAATGATGAAGCTGACTTAAATATGGTTATAAAAAATATGATCAACAAAGGTAAGAGGTGATATGTTTATCTTTATTTCTAAAAGCAATTGTCCTTTTAATCTTCCAATGGTTCTATAAAATGATATTATTAAGAAGCAATTACAACTGTCCTTTTTCAATACCTGTAAATAATTATATAACATTATATGTAAACGATCCCGGGCTTAAAGCAGCATGCCTATAGATAAGCTTAAATATTCTAAGAAAATCGATTTTGGGAAAAGTATACATGTATTAAGATTTTAAGAAAAATTAAAAATGATTCAAGATTCGAGTAATATTTAAATGTTGTGTGTGACTGATTTTGTCTGTTTTTTAAAAAGGTTAATAAGGAAAGGTAAACCTTTTTTAATGTCCTTTAATCTGATACTTCAATATAATTGTTACAGTAGCTGAAAAATCACAAACTTGTATGAATTGTTAAATACCGCGCTTCATTTGGGTTAAAGTGTTACAAACCTAAAGTCATTTTATACAGCTTGGTCAATTATTAGTACATTTTGTCACTTTTCAAAGAATTTCCACTTTATTTTTTTTTCAAATATATCAAAATTCTAGTAGTACGTAGCTCTCATACATGCTGATAATAGTCCGTATTTCTTTAAATAATACCTACGAGGGACAACTACGGAAGAAAAAAGGTAACAACAACGGAGGTACAAAATATAACTGAGAGGTAAAGTGGGGACAACTCCTGAGAAACAAAATAAACAACTTCGGACACACAAAGGGGACAACTTCTCTGAAAATCGGAATGAACGACATTGGAAACGGAGAGGAGGCAACTAGAGAAGCACAATACAACAACTAATCAAGCACAATAGCAACAACTAATGAATTACAAAGGATCAACTTCAAAGGAACAAATGTCATAACTACGGTAACACAGAACGGACAACAAGAGAGGACCACAAAATACTTCCTATGGAAACACACAAAGAAAAAATCCTACGGAATAACAGAAGGAAAAAGTGTACAACTACAGGGAAACAGAAGGATTAACTATAGAATCACAGAAGGGAAAGCTACGGGATGATCAGAATGAACAAATACTGAAACAAAGCGATGACAACTGGGAAGAATAGAGAGAACCGTAGCATTTTGATTGGTGAAGAACGTTCTAAAGCAGTCTTGCCTACAAAAATTTTAGGTTATTTGAAAAAGACATTAAACAATTACCAAATTATGAAAAACGTTATAACAATTATATTTATCAGGTCATTTAAAGGGAGACACAGGCAAAATTTTCATTTCTTTGTTTTGATTTTTCATTCATTATTCTGTAAATGCACTGAAAATGAATACATTAGACAGTCAAAGGAACAAAACTTTTCTCCATATAAGAATAAAATGGTGGTTTCCTAACTTGACCCGCGTGGGTCAGGTTAGAGCGCTAGGATTTCACAATAGTTGTCACAGTGAACTCTGGAAACGTTAAAGAACATGTCAAATGAATGACTTAGACTTGTTTCAATCATACAATATTCACAATATCTGTTATTTTAACTTCAAGGGTTTGTTCAGTTTTAAAACTATTCGATGATTCTGTTGGCGTCTAAATTTTGTTCAATATATATATATAGTTACACATGACTTCAAACACAAAAGATTAGAATTTATTTAAACAGAAATTCATGCTCGAACTTTAAGAAATGTCATTTAAGCGTGATTTGAGTACATAAGATCACTTTAATATTTTTGTCATTATTTTGCCTGAATATCCCTTTAAGTGTACAACAACTACTACTACTACTACTTGTAATAGTAGTAGTAGTGAGTGAGTGAGTGAGTTGGTGAGTGAGTGAGTGAGTGACATGTGTTATTTACAATATAATCATATACAAATATTTTAATAAAGGTATAAAAACACCCGGCCTCATGGGGCCTATTAGTCAATGTCGAATTAGATACAGTATCTATGTAAACGTTTCAAATATTGAATATAAAAGTAGTACAAGTTCAATTTCAAATATATGGACGTTGACGTAGAATAGTATTTTTCAACTATTATCTTTATAAAGTAACATATTCAAATTAAGCTATCAAATATATGAGTAATTGATGGATTTAAATATTAGTGATACACATATATATGCGTCTGTGCAAATTGCTATGAGAATATAAGGCTTCGCCCATACATAAAAGCTTTCACAATGTATTTTGCTGTATTTCTAGCATTTTTATTTATTAAAAAGGTCAGTCTATCCTTATTTCTTTTGATATAGGATGGATCTGTCAATAAATTTTCAAACACATGCTGTCAAATCTTATCATCGTGTGTGCATTCTACAAGAAAATGAGTTTCATTTTCTAGTTGTTTTTGGTCAAAAAATGTACATATTCTCAAGTTTACGTAGAAGTAGTATCCCGTGGTCACAATAAGATAAAATGATCAAATAACTGTCAAATAAATTAACATATATTGTCACTGTAAAACTCGCAAACAAAAGCGCAGCCACTTTGTTTGTATTTGTTATTATAGAAATGAGGGGAGGGGGGGGGGGGATAGGGGATATAAAAAGCAATACAATAAGCACAACATTATCCAACTTCCAATTGAATAGATCGCACATATATGTCGGACCCGCATTTCATGCATTTGTCGATACTTCTCGAAGGATGTACATGTACATTCGTTACTAAAATTCATGTATTTATGTACTGACAACATTTCATGAGAGGATCGCTGCTTGAAATGTCTTTCTTTAAGCTATTGATATGATTCACAAATTTTATTACATTTCATGTTCACTCAATATTTTATCCATTGTCGTCATTCATTTTGCATTTATAGCAAAATCATACCTTGAATTTTTGGAAATTTATAACGGCTGTGTTTAGCACAAAAAACTGTTCTATGTACAGACCGTATAATCATAATTCTAGGTTACTGTACTTCCATGTCTATAAGATGACACTACTGTGTCACATTGAATGTTCCATGATAACCGCCGTATGAACACATCTGCGGATGTTTCTTAATTCAAAATTCATCAATTTTTTGTTAAAATGTTAAATTCTGCTTAAGCCGGTGCTAGGGGGCGTGGACGGTAACTTGCACTTTCCAGTACCGTCCATGAACAGGCTCAATCAAACCGAGCCTGCAACATTTTACAATTTTGCCGTGTTGGGCTTTCTTTAGGGATTCTGTTTTTCAATATTTCTACCCACTTTGTTGCTCTAAGAAATAAAAACCTTTCGTTTATGAACTACTTAAAACTTAAAGAACAAATATTTGTTACTTGCATATAATCCTAAATATGTAAACATTTACTTTATGAATCAAGTAAACAAGTTTTAAAACCATCTTTCGTTATTTGCATATGTACATTTTAAAGTTATAAGCCGAACAGACGGCATTAAGACCGACCTATTATCAGTTGTAAGCGAATTTCCACATTTAGATAACCTCTATGATATAAAAAGACAGCAGAGAGAACTGCTAAGTATATGATTCTTTATGATGTATTTACTAAATCATACTTTTTCTTATCATTTAGATAATTATGACATATCCTGTGGATTAACAAAGTCCCATTTAACAGAGATCTCAAATCTAACAGAAAACAGATATGAAGTAGATGCCAAAAGAAATGCTTGGCCATGGATGGCAGAGCTCCGAACGGTACGTTTGCTATAAATGTATAAATATAGAGTATTTGACAAGGTTATTTTACAATACTACATTAATGAAATAATAAGTGAAACTGATAAGATTTCTCTCGGTTTCTCTCCATCTGTCTCTCCGTCTGTATGTTCGTCATTCCGTCCACAAAAGCTGAATCCGTGACACCACAAAAAGTAATTGCAATATTTATACATGAAAATTCAAATATAGGTAGATGGCAGTTTTGATATTATGCACGTCTTATTTACTTCTTATATTGAATAATTGGTTACTATGGCTACAAATAGACTTAAAAATGCAAACATAACAATATTTGTGTCTGTTTTCAAAAACTGGATTCCGTGATACCGCAAAAATACGGAAAATGTTTCAATGAAATTGGTTTGATTGCAGTTCGGAGAATTTGATCCATTCATCAAGGGCCGGCGATCGCGTTCAGATTTCTGATTTAAAATGTTACGCAGTAAAATCTTTTACACTATAACTTCTTTATTGTATTGGGTATTTACTTAAAGCTTCAAAAGTATGTTTCTGATCATAAACCACATCATATGTGACAAAGTTTACACCTTTAGCACCAATATTATCAGACTTATCCCTTGAACTTTTTTTCATGAAAAAATGTTTTTGTGTAAAACACCTTATTTCTTAACGTATCTACTTAAAACTTCAAATATATGTTACTTATCATCACCCACATTATATGTGGCAAGGTTGATAATTGTAGCTCCTATGTTATCAGAAATTATCATTATTATTAGAAATTATCTTTTAGCGTTTTAACTTCTTCATTTCTTAAAGGATTTACACCGAACTACCACATGATAATAATATGACAGGGTTTTTATACCTAGCGTCCATATTTCAAGAATATTTATCCCCCTTAAACTTTATTCTTTTTACTTATTTATTCTATATTTTCTTATTTCATCATTGATTTACTTCAAATTTCAAACATATATTCATTATCCAGACCTAAATCATACTTATAAGATTCATAAACGTGTTGCGCATGTGTTTCGACGTAATTATTTTACTCACTTTTCTTGTTGGTAACTATAAATGGTATTTCTTTTAGTTTTAATAAAAGAAATAGTAAATGTAACATAAGTTAAGCATATTTATGTTTGACATTTAAAAAGCTGTTGTACAACATTATTTCCTCATTACACAGGAAAGCGTAACACATTTCTATGATACAGACAAACTAGGAAACTCTAAAGTTCATTTTTTTCCACAATATTATAATTGAATGGCCCTGGCTTTGTGAATGTAGCTGACATATTTCTTGTAGGGTTAATACTGGTAGGAGATATTTGTATTGCTTGTTATACTTTGACAATAGTTTGTTTTGGTATGCTATTCTACGGAAAAGGAATGAAAAGAAATGAAATCAGATGTTTGTTTCCAACCTAAACTCAAATCAATAAAAAACAATAAATCAGGTACTGCGTATATGAATTCCAATTGACGAGTATGCCCGATACAAAGAGGATTATAAAGTTCCTTCTATAAACTCGGGATTTATTGTCATCGGCTTGAATGTATGAAAATCAATATTTATATATTAAACTATAAATTAAACGAATCCAGCACTATCCGACAATGCGTGATGCAAGCTGTCTGTCACAGAGATTATATTATCAATACCAGGTTCTAAATTAAAAAACAGGATTAATTCAATCAATTACTAATCAAGAAAGATACATGACGAGTAGTTGTATGCTGTCAACACTAAGAAATTATGTTTTATGTATTATATATTAATCGATCTTCGTAAAATTTGTCTTGGTTGATATTGATGAAATTTACGACATTCCGTTCATGAAAATCCCTTCCGGAAACCGGTAAACAAAGCATGCTGGCTATAAATTATATTTCTACATTATCTATCATTATTTTTGCTATAAGTATGAATAGATATTTGTTTTAGATACGGCGACATAGTCTTTGAGTAATGTACACGCAAGTTTGACTTAAATTTGGCTCATTTAAGATTTTATTATGGAATTGTGAAACAGCGGCCTAACAGTCTCCAACAATTCCTGCAGGACCGTCATGTAATTTTAGCATCGCATTATATAAAAGCGCGAGCAGCGCGCCCTTGATTGACCTTAAACACGTTTAAAAATTAATAATGCTAAGGCACGTAATTCTCAACACTTGTCTTTCACGACTGTTTTTGTTGCCTTTGTGATTGTTTGATCACCAGCCAGAGACGAAAATGAATGTAAGGATGGCGTCCTATGTTTGAATTCTCCAGTTGGAAGTTCCACGGTTCAGTTAGTTTGTTTCTTGTTTGTTTATTTTTAAACGATGACGGACGCTTAAGATGGCATTGACCTTCATATTTTCTTGGAAGCTTTGATGACAATTATTGATTTTTTGTGTTATGCGGCTGGCCAATCAGAGTTAAGGGCGCGAACGACGTCTGTTTTTGTGCATGTTTTTTACGGGTTGTATTTTTATGAAGATAAAGAGAAGCATGAACATGCATGCAGAGAATACCAAGTTGGATTTGAAGTCAGTTTAGTAAAAAAATCTATTGACAGTGTTACGGTTCTGTTCACGTTTTTACGGGAAATTTGATGAAACTTCTAAAACGTAATAACAAGAGATAATTTTCATCTGCATACATTTTTAAGCTGTTTAGAATGGATCGCATTCATATGTTATGCTCATGTCTCAGTCCTTCCTATTATTAACACATCTTCTTGAAGAATGTTATATTTTGAAATGAAAAAGATACAGCTTTATGCCTGTGTTATTGCTTAAAGCTATTTTAATATGTGAGCAGTAGTTCCTCACTTATCTCACTCTCACTCTGTATGTCTATGCGTTGTTTTTTTGTGTAAGAGCAGTGGTATATGAATTTATTTATCTCATCTCATTCTCTTTTGCATGTGCTTTCGTTCGAGCATTGATGTAAGAGTATTTTACACATCACTCTCTCATGTATGCACAGTTTAGATTAATTATGGTTATCTATGTGCTTTTATATTTTATCCAAAACAATGAGGCCCAAGACCTTGGCCAATATGTATGAAGCTAATGTTTATAAAGATTTCTTTACAATTTTATTGTTGATACTTACATGATATGTCATTTACTTCTTCCCTTATGTCTCTCATTTGTCATATGAAATTGATTAGGGTATTGGGACTCTAGTCTCATTTTTTAAGTCGCCTCGACTAAGATTCGAACAAAATTCGACGTTATTCCTTAGTGCAGACAATATTCAATCAAGGGGAACATGCATTTGTTTTCAATAGCATTAGAACAAGCTTCATTATAGAATAAACAAATACTTCTATCAGTGGTTTGATATTTATAACGTCCCATTTTTTTTATCTGATTGCAACTACTCAACATATCCTTTTTTTGAAAATAAAACTTTTTCAACATTAAGATAAAATTTAGGTACAACAAGTCCTTAATTAGACTGTAACCCTGCCAGATTTACCTATGATAGAGTCTACACTGTCAAATCAACCATGTTTTGACATTTTATAATCAATACTCCTTCAAAACGCTCAAATACCCCTTCCTCATTATGTAATAATAATCACTGTCCGTCTTTCCGCTCGTCTATCAATTCTGTCTGGAACATAACTGAAAAATTAATTGAGATATCAACTTAAATCTTCATATATAAATTTCACATCATTACTTAATGTAGAGCAATTCTTATTTTTCTTTTTCATTTACCATTCGTTGATTAAAGGTCTGTCTCAAAGTTGTTTTTCTTGCCACAAACGTAAGATAAAAATCGACAGACACATTTACATTTTTAAAGAACAACGTTATTGTACACATACTAGGTTATTCAATAAATGTATTCATAAAACGCGATGAAAAGATGATTTTGTGCAACGAATTTAATGAATTAATTATTTAACCTAAGCGAATACATTATTTCTATTTATCGCATATCTGTAAAAAAACGGTTAACAGTTTTAAAAATGTCATTTTTCATTGATTTTAATTATCGTGCATTTTTCCATTGCTGTAATTATTTTTCAAGCATGACAATAAAACTTACTGCAGGTAAATTGGTATGATGAACAAATAAAATAAATGAGTTTTACTTATGACTGAATTCAATTGGGATTTCGTTTGAACTCTCTAGAATAAGGGTCAAGTTCACTGATACTTAAAATAGATACTCCGTTTCCAGTCAATTAAAATGTTTAAAATCAGATATTTCAATGAAAGTTGGTATATAGTAAAATTCTCTGTTGTCCTCCCTTGGGATTGCCATCGGGTCCCTGGAGTTAAAATCAAGGTCACTGTTACTTAAGAAAATCGATTTTCGATCAATACTAAAGGTTGGAATAAAATGTTTCAATTAAACATGGTGTATTGCAAGCTTATGAGAAGACCTTGGTTGTGATTCTGTTTGAGCTCTCTCATGTCAAGTTAAAGGTCACTGTTCCTAAAAAATGATAAAAGATTTTCGGTCAATAGCAAGATTTCGTTCGGAATGAGATTAATTCAGTGAAATTTGGTGTATAGCAAAAAAGTGTACAGAAGTGGCTTGGAATGTCTGTTTTGCCTACAATGGTCAATGTCAAGGTTACTGTACATAGAAAATGAGAATCGATTTCCGGTCAAAACATCGTATTTGGAATAAGTCAATTTGCTAAGCAAAATTATCATAATTCTGATTTTGATTATTGTTATTATTATTATTATTGTTATTTAATGACTTTTCATGGAATTGCTTTTGGACCTCCTAGGGTCAAGGACAAGGTCACTGCTCCTAAAGTAGAAAATGGATTTTCGTTCGATAACTACAGTTAAGAATGAAATCTTTTAATGAACCTAGTTACTTTCTCTTACAAGTTTATGTGAATACCTAAATTCAGAATGCTTTATGATTATGTAGGTCAATGACTGGAGTCTTAAATGAGATTTTCATTAGAACCTAAAAAACTATGTCAAACTAAGCGCAAGCAGGCCCAACAAAAGTCCCCTGACTACTAAGCATAATATCTTTAAGCATAAGCAAGATATAGTGCGGAAAAACACATTTTGATATGTTATTTGACCTGTGACACCTTATAGTTATATTAAATCCATCCATTTATATACAAGTTATAATCAAAAATGAATGTTTATATTTGTTATTTGACCTTTGACCCTGAAGTAAGACCTTGACCTTTGCGACATGCACATAAATATTACTTTAATTACCAAAAGGTTTAAAATGTACATTCTATTTAAATCGTCAAAATGTAAACTATATTTTGATAAATTATTAAAGCTGCGTTTTGTACATTTCATAAAAAAAACAATAGCTACATTTTCATTTAAAAAACGGGTTTTATATCGACTACCTTTCTTGTTTTGGTGTCCAGACAAACAAAATGAGTTTTAAAATCCTTAAATATGCAAACTCATTGAAGCGAAATCAGAAATACAATTGAAACTCCCCCTTTGGTCCATCTGTACATCAAAAGAATATCAACAAACATGGCTATCCGTAGCAATCCGAATTAACAGGTATATTTTCGCATTATATAACAAATGTTTGTCATACAAATGTAATCTTTTTTATGAATTGATTACCTTTTTGGGAACGCCAGGTCATTTCTGTTCTGTTTGTAACGCACAGTGAATGATAAAACGGTAAAAAGATTGTTTGCACAAGACATTTCTATATTTGCTGTGTTCAACATAGTAACAATTGTTTGATTTTTAAATTCTTACAATTTGATGTAACGCATATATACACAAGGGAAATATAGATTTCGTTTCCATGTTCACATAAGTGTAAACATTGGGGTTTTCCAATTAAACTTATATTTTTTGATGAATAATATTTGATGAGATTTACATATATGCTGTTAAAAGAGTAAATGAAACTGTAGAATGCTTGGTTTGTAGGCCGGCGGAAAAAATATTTGCACATATTTATCAGATACAGCTTTGAACCCGTTTCTGAACTAAGCTTCTGTATATTCTATATTTTGTTAAATAAGCATTTAGATGAATATAGAAATTATTGGACTTTCATGTAGTTGCAATATATGATACGAGTCGAAGAGCATCATAACATTAATTTTCAAGTATTTTTCAGCAGTTGCACGTTTTCACTTGTGTTCAGAGGCCTCGGATTGACTGAGCATAAGCAGAATTTACTGTAGTACTTTAAATAATTTATTGACCATGGGAAGATTATGACACTATTTCTGATTAAAATATCTTTTGTGAGAGTTGACACTGTACTGTATATAGAAACGGTGGCGGCTTTTTTTTCAAATTTCAACCCATTATATTTTGACCAGAGTTTGTTGTTAACATACAAGTACAATAATAAGCTACTATTTTTCACAGACTTTCAGTTCTCTTCCCCTCATTTCATACAATACATTAGCGTGAAAAAGGCTATATTTATTTCTCTATGCTTATTGATAAATTAGGTTATTCATTCATTTTGTCAATCAGTCAATTTGTAATTTATTATTTAATTATATGTTTTTTATTTATTGATTTATTCATTCGGTTGGTCATTGATAAATTGATTGATAGATTGATGGATGGTTTGATTGATGGATTGATTGATTGATTGATTGATTGATTGATTGATTGGTTGGTTGAGTGATTGATTGATTGATTGATTCATTCATTTCATTTCTTTCTTTCTTTCTTTCTTTCTTTCTTTCTTTCTTTCTTTTCTTTCGTTCTTTCTTTCTTTCTTTCTCTTTCTTTCTTTATTTCTTTCTTTCTATATTCATTTATTTCTTTATTAATTTTTACAGAGTAGGACACACGTTTGCGGGGGCTCTTTGATAGGAGATAGATGGATCCTAACGGCTGCTCATTGCTTTTCTAGAAGGAAAGTTACAAAAGTTCACTTGAGTGAGTAAATTGATCATTGAAACACTTTTATATACAAACAGGCACTTTAACAGTTCATTTGATTTCACGGGTACTAACAATATTGTGTAACACAGGATTAATTCGCGTGTTATAATCAACAATGATATTATCAAGGAGAAAGCAGAAATTATCATTACCTAAACATTACCTTAAACATTTTTTTGTAGATATAAATTTATTGTGATTACCCAGCCTTTAAACCATCCACTTATCACATTTTGGTCAAAGTGATTAAGGCCAATTGCACATGATCTTTGTAAACACTTGCGCAGAATCTTTGAAATGGTTGAACCGGCAGGGTTTTTTTTGTTTTGTTATTTTTCACGAAAACTCTTCCGTCAATTTTTTAACATAAGAGAAAACTTACAATAAATATCATTTTCACAAAATATCTTAAAAAACATCTTGAGTACTAAGTGGCTCGTAACTTTACGATTAGTGTTTCTCATTCTTAAGTGTGAAATATTTCATTTATGAGTAAAATAACACATATCTTTTATCTTATTGGCAAAATAAACAGAAGGACAAATATACCAGTAATTGCAAACACCTTGTTGAAAATAAAACAAAATTAGATAGACATTTGTTTGATTTGCATTTAAGATCGAAATATATTTCACTGAGTGCACACTAGATGCAACATTTTTACGAGTGGCGTCACCGTACCAATGTTGAAATTTAGTTCTGTAAAGTTTCTTCAATTTTGCTACATTTTGAACACAATGTATGCAGTTTTTTACTTGCTTCTCCTAAGGTAACAAACTTAAGAAACGACGTAATTTATTCCTGTAAATTATTCCATTTAGATATGAAATATCAATTTCATCCGCATTCAAATATTATCTGGCTACTGTAACAGTAAAAAATATCAAAAAGAATGATCAAATATAATTTCACTGTGGAAATTAACAAATAAAATTTCACTTTCAAGTGCAAAGCATGTAATCATAAGAATTATTTAAAATTGCATTTTCATCACTCTATGAAATATGATTTTCCGATTTTAGGTCTAAACAAACACAAATAGGCTTAAAACTACATTTATTCACATTCTCTGTATCATTTAAAAAAAAGCATAAATAGTTCTATAGTAGACTATGTGGTCTGGGCCGGCTTCGAATTTTGAAAATAATGTTTTGTACATTACTGTCAGTAATATTTTACTCAGGGCGGCCATCCCACGTAATCAATGGCATCGAAATTGTTATAGAATTGTGGCGGCACGCATAACAAACCGATACATACTGAAATGTTCAAAGCAGTTCTCTCATTTCGATACCAATTTATAAACGAACTGAAGTCTTGCAAAACGCAATCTTCCTTTTCCCGGTACCTATTTATCTCCAAATGACGATTTTGTGTAAACATTCGAACCGCGGTTTGGAAGCGATGCAGAATTTCAAGTGAAAATTGTAATTTAGTGTGAAGCAATCATGTTTTATGTCATTTTATCGTTTAAATCAGTTCTCTTTTTCGCATTTTTGTGTACTTTGGAGGAGCGTGAAAGCATATTTATTTTCATTATATTCAATGCGTTTAGTCATGACTGTGATAAAAAGAATTTGACTTACGTCACCATACAATATCAAATCATATATATTATTTTTTTAGAAAGCGAGCCGTTTTCGACCTTTATACCATTCTTTCCATTTGTTAAGCATCATCTATAATGTATGTGAGATCATGTATACATAAGGATCCGTCACCAACTAAAACACTAAGTTGCGCAAAATATGAAACATGGCATATTGTTTTTCAAACAAGAGCCCGTAACACTAGCAATAATGTTTACCTTCCATTGCAACTATCGATCTAGGTATATATCTTACTTACGTAACGTTTGGATACACTCTTAATAGAATTTCTTAAAAATTAAAAGATTCAAAAGCCCTATTAAAGTCTTGGCATAAAATTGAATTTAGCCCAGATTAAAAATTTCTCAAAACTGTCTTACATCAAGTAATAAGATTTTGATTATGTTTCATTTGTAAGTTAAATTCAAATCGCTTCGTGTGCAAGTTTTGTACTCCCGGAATAACAAAATAATGTCAGAAGAGGAGCAATTAAAGTTAAATTTAAGTCGAGAATGCTTAACGCTTAATAACCATTTTCTGTTGCATTTCTGCATTGCGTCAAGACAGCGGTCCGTATGTTTGAACAAACTATGATGTTTTTTTAAGTTGTCTGTGGAAACAAGGAGATAGAAAAAAAAATGGTTTTGAAATAAGAGTACAGACTTTGAAAATATGAAATAGTATAGAAAAAAGAGTAAGCGCACAGAATGAGAATTATGTCAAGTTTAAGTATACATGTTTATTGTAGTTGCTATATTTGGTTTTGTGAAAAACTAAATCTTATTAATTGTGTACAAAGTAGATTTATGTAATTTTATGTTTTAGGAAAACTTGAATTGCATGAAGAAATAGGAATCGAAGAGCAAGAGATCTCACAGAAGAATATATATGTACACCCAAGATACGACGAAAAGAATAAACCTTCAAGACTGTATGACATTGCATTAGTTAAACTAGATGAAAGGATAGGACGGAAACCCGATCTGCTGCCAGTTTGCTTATGGGACAAAACCATTGAAAGTATACCTTGATTTTGAATTTATACATTTTAATGAATGAAAACCAAATACTGAACACCTTTGTCTAGCTAACAAGTATTAAAGGGTTGTGCACATATTTATTGTATAGATAAGACAAAGATGGATAAATTTAGCTTAGTATAGTTTAGTTTAGTTTAGTTGAGATTGGAAAAAGTTAAAATTGATATTTTTTATAAAAATATAACATTTTTAACTTGAACGCAAAACTAAACATAGATCGTGTACGATGCAATATATTTATGATTTTAATGTATTTTATTTCGTTGACAATTAATAAGAATTGAAGAAAATAATGTTTCGTTTTCATGAAATAAAAGGTTTTCGGATAAACGAAATAAGATTTAGCACATGCTTAATGGTTGTCACATTAATGCTTTTTAGTTTAAATAACGCGGATAAGTGTGCTTAAAATAAAATGCTTAATAATTTCTACGTGTTGAGTTATGTTCCTGGCACTAAAAAAAGTGCAGATAAAGCCTACTTATATTTGTTAACGATAATGACAACCCGATTGCTACATTTCTTATCGGTCAAAAATTGAAATATACTTGATTTGTTTACGATTTGTATCTATAAACCAATACTAATTGATCTAGCTAAAGTTTAAAGGTTTCATATGTTATTGTATGTAGACATAATGGATAAATTCTTTATAGAGTTTATTAGTTATTACAAATTACAACATTATATTGTTATTTGAACAAATAAAAACATGTCTGTGGGGACAATATGCAATGTTTTAATGACTTGAATTAGTCAAGAACTGAAGAAATAATGTTCCTGAAAGAGTTCGGAACAATATTACACACTGAGATTCTGACAAACTTTAGTTCATAAACTGCATTATGCCCGAAAGGCCATGTTTTATTTGTTATATTATACCAAATCTAAATCTTTTCATCCCTTTTGTTCCTGTCATTTTTACTATAATTTGCTTTCAAATAATTATTTATTGGTTCAATGTGTGAAATATCTTAAACCCTAGTAGGATATTTTATTTTCAAGTGATACAGTAAAAAGATCATGTTCTTATTTTGTTATTCAATTTTTGTTAATCAAATTAAATAGGCAAAAAAAACCCGAACTCTAAGATTTTCGTAAACTGTATGAATAACACTTATAATCAATTTAAAGACAAATCATGACATTTGATCAACATGTTATAAATTTATGTGAAACAAAACAATAAATTCAGTAAAAAGAATCATTTAACAACAAATAAAATATTATACCTCATTAGCATACGCCCGTCTATATTTAATACGACGTCATTCAGTCCATATAAGAATTTTATGGACCGGATGACGTCATATTAAATATAGAAGGGTGTATAATATTAAAGGTTACGATGTCGCTCTTTTGCGCAACTATATGTTATAACATCGATGTATATGATAATTCACTGTTACAAAAACGTTCTATTTCGTTTTTAATGTTACAATATAGCTATATTAGGAAAATATAAATTTACCGATATTCCTTTTTATTGCTACCCATATGTCACCATATCGACACAATATGGTTATTTTGTTTTAAAAACATTGCTCTGGTAGGATATCATATGTTATGATATTGCTCTGTTAGGTTGATATATTGTACGATATCGCTCTATTCTGTTATAGTTTGTCCCGTGTTTGAATTTTAAAGTAAGGATATCTTAATAAACAGCTCTGTTAGGTCAATATATGTTTGTAACATCGCCCCCTTATGTTGAAATATGTAAAAATTACGATGCATTAGATCTGATAAATGACGATATCGCTCTTTTAAATTTTGATATGTCACAAATCACTCTTTTATTTTATTATATATGACGATTTCGTCTTCTTATACTAGTATTAGTTACGATATCGCTCTATTAGGCTATAATGTTACGATATTGTTCTAATAGGTTATTACATATTATTTTTGTCGTTATGTCATCATGTATGGGTAAAATCTGTAAAAAATTGCTTAATGTAACATTTATTTTCTTCAAGGAAATTTGTTGATTTTTCAGATTGTTTAACTCTAGAATATACGTGACAAGGTGATAAATACTTAAATTAAATGATTATGAAAAGTGTAGTTTTTAGGCGGGAAATTCCAAGATTTATTTACCGCAAACTTGCATTAGACTCATGCATACAGTTAGCAGCAAACATAGATTTTATGATAAAACAAGAACATAATATAGATTAACATACATTGTTTAAAAATGTGTTTTCCTGATATTGAAACATTGTTTTATATGTTAAGCTGTGCATGATAAATATTTCAGGCAAAACTAATGTTATCTATGAAAAACTTTTTACTAAAACATACGGTGTCGTCACTGGTTGGGGTAAAAGAAACATGAGATCTTTTAACTATGCAAGAACGCTGAAACAAATGCAAATGGAAGTGAAATCATCCAAGGAATGTCTTGAAAACTTGACGTCGGAAGAGAAGGCTGAAGTCAGTACTGATCTTATGTTTTGCGCCGGTGGAGAAGGTTTGTCAGTTACATCATTTTAACTATTTCTGAAATTCATAAAGAATTCAACCAGTTGTTTCATAATGTATAAAGATGATGTACTCAAGATCCAATTAAGCGAATATCCGTCAATTGTATATATATATACATATACACACTTTCCTAATGTTTTTCATTAAGTTTGATGATTAACTTGCTGCATGCATTGTAAATGTAAGTATAGATTGCATTTTACTTTCACTCATTTGCATAAACGAATTGTTTTAGAAAAAGTCGGGGATGAGATCCAATACATTCACGCATGCGCGGGAGATAGTGGCGGTCCTTTTGTTGTCCGTCATCCACTGGATGAAAACAAATTCCTTCAGATCGGTAAGTATTTTATTATTTCTTTTGCATAATTCAAATTTCTACTTCAATAATTAATTGAAGCAATAATATTTACGAATTCTAGCGAAAATAATAATGTTAATGTGTTAGACGAGAAAAGAATAGGGAAAACTTTGAGAGTCCATATACCGGCAAAATATTTTTAAAGATCCTGTATATTGTAATTTAGGTTGTCACCACACTTAAGTGAAATTTTACATATGTAAATAATTATGCTTCTTAAACAATTTTCAAACATCGAAGAAATGTAAAAAATTGAACAGCAAATTTTTGTCCATATTTGATGTAATCGTTAAAATATATGCATTCATTTCTTACTTAGACTTTATAGAAAATAAATTTCTAATTACCTCCCTTTATTAACATGAAGTGTAAATTCGGTAATATTTTTACAAATCATTTTTGGAACTTACAATATTGATAAATCTTCATTTGAGCTTGATATTTATGATATAAAACCATAAAAAAATGTGTTAAAGGATCTTTAAGTGAACTCGGTAGCTAATGTAAGTGAAATTTCAATGCAACTTAAAACTATTGTTGTTTGCTCGAAAATGTAAACATAAAAACAATCTACAATGTAGGGATAGTTTCATTTGGGTTCACGTGCAAGGAAGAGGGCAGATATGGATTCTACACTAAGCTCACAGAAGAACTTCTAGGCTGGATAAATATCACGATAGAGAAAGAAAATAATAAAGGTAAACAAATACATTGCAACACACAGTTTATGATCTCTGATAAATGGGATTTTAAAATATTCATTTTGCAGAATTGTTATAGAATGTTTATAATCAGAAACTGTTAATGTAGAAAAGTTCAGAGATGGTGTGTGTTTTAATAAATCTACTATATTTGATGTAGAGAAGCTAAATCATTGGCACTTAAAAAGTGAATGTGTGTGTGTCTTATTTAAATTGATAATTCCGTTTCTATGTGTACTACTTTGCCAGGTATGTTTGTAAATACATGTAAATGACAATATTTAATTTTTTGATGGATTATTTAGGGTCTATGTTGAATTTAATTTAAACTGGCTTATAGATTACCTCAGCTTTCTAAACATTAAAATAAAGCTACCAACAGCACCTATCTTGATCAGACTGAACTGATGTACAGGCTGCCCTGGTATTACTTTACTGGTTATGATAGCGTACATTGTATGTTTCTGCAGGTTAAGTGTTGAGTTTGGAAAAATGTCAATATTCAAATAAACTCCCCCAAATGTTGTCGGCTACTAGTAAACAGCAGAGCTTTACGATAAAACACTCTATCGCTCCATTTTAGCTAGCGATTTATCGCATACCTAAGAAAGGGATAGCCTTGTTGTTTACCTGGAGTTGACAGCACTTAAGGGGAAGTAGTTTGAAATTATCCATCATCAGAGGACATAAACGGCTAACTTTATACGATGCCTCCGTTCGTTGTCTTGCTTATAATTATTAAAGGGCTAACAAAAACAATCAAAATAATACCTGAGCGTAGAAAAAAAGTAAAAAGAAACAATCATTCAATTTATTTTTGTACATATCATTTCCTTTAATATGTTAATGTAATTTTCTTTTTCTTGATAAGAAAATTGCAGGATATATCTAAAATAGAAAACATATTTGTCGTATTGTAAACGGGCGTATTCAGTCACTGGTGAATTCCAGTAAGATTTCGTAATTGTTTTGACGTGTTTAATTAATTAATCATATTCTTACTATTCTATGATTTACAAAAAAAATGTATTTTGCTATTCAAAATAAATTCAAACATCTTCATTTGAATTGAACAAATAATTGCGCATTTTAGAATTGTTTAGAACGCTGTAAATGTAAGTTAAGTCCGATATGTTTCAATACTTTATTTTTTTGTGGTATTTAACACACTCCGCGTAAACTTTGAATTGTTTGTTATTTTTCAATTGTTGAATGTTCTAAAAGTACAGTCTGTTTCCTAACCATCTGTTTTAAAATACAATTTCTGCAGGTGTTTATCTTCACACTAGTAGAAACATTGGGGGAACTGTGCGGCGTAAAAATGTTAATATAACTATCCGGTTCTGACAACACTGATTTTATGTTTTTAAATAACTTATTAGCACGTATAAAAAATGTTCGCAGATGAACGAAATGTTCTGCGAATCACTAATTTTTAATCAATTTATAATTTTTTATTAATATTACTTACATTTATTAACAGTGCTTAGTGATTGTGACCCTTCGATTGTAGAGTTACTTAAATCTCCGATATATGTTTAAATGCTACACTCTGACATTACATGTACAATTGTAGCGCAGCAAAGAAGGTTTCTAAATAAACAAACCTTCATGGAAAAGTTTAATTTAAGAGTGAACACCTATGTACACTTTTTTACAATAAACACAATACTGTTTAGCGCTGATTTTGGTGTTTTATCCCACTGTTTACTTAATCATATTGTTATATTTGTGTTTGGAAATTCATTACACTAGTTAAAAATTAGTTAAATGAATTACATTTTTTCTTATCATTTAGATAATTATGACATATCTTGTGGATCAACACAGTCCCATTTAACAGAGATCTCAAATCCAACAAAAAACACATATGAAGTCGATGCCCAAAGAAATGCTTGGCCATGGATGGCAGAGCTTCGAACGGTACGTTTGCTATAAATGTATAAATATAGAGTATTTGACAAGGTTATTTTACAATACTACGGTAATGAAATAATTAGTGAAACTGATAAGTTTCCTCTCGGTTAGGTTTGTCCTCCATCCGTCTCTCCGTCTGTATGTCCGTTATTCCGTCCACAAAAGCTGGATCCGTAACACATCAAACAGTATTTGTTATATTTATGTGAAACTTGATATATGAAAATTGAAATATGGGAAGATGGCAGTCTTGAGATTATGCACGTCTCATTTACATCTAATGTTAAACAATTTAGTTGCTATGGCTACAAATAGACTTAACATAACACAAACATAAGAATATTTGTATCTGTTTTCAAAAACTGGATCCCGTGATACCGCAAAAGTACTGAAAATGTTTTTAATGAAAATGGGTAGATTGCAGTGCGGAGAATTTGCGCTTTTTATGTTTCTTCCTATGATCTATTCATCCAGGGCCGGCGACCTTTTTATATTCATTCAAACCATGTGCGAAAAAGATGCAGTACTGTTAAGCTTGACTGACTTATTCCAGAATTATGTCCCCCTTGAACTTCTTTCCTAGAATTAATTATTCTAACTTCTTCACTTCTTAAAAGGATTTACTCCGAACTACCACATGATAATAATATGACAGAGTTTTTAAACATTGCGTCAATATTTCAAGAATTATCCACCTTAAACTTTAAATTTTCCTTATTTATTCTACAATTTTCTTATTTCACTATTGATTTACTTCAATTTCAAACAAAGCTTCATTATCCATACCTACATCATATGTAAATTTAGCTTCTTTAGGAAAAGAAAGTCGATGTCCCCATACGTCATGTTAAAAATGTAACAAAATAAGAGAAATTTAACAGAACTATATTTCAAAATTGATGGTGTGACGTCATGATGTGATGACGTCACAAAGGAAAATGCGCGACGTTACGCGGCAAAATCAGTAAAAAATACTTAATATCATTTAAAAAGCATGAAATAAAAAGAAAATTTATTTGTTTTACATATAAGATTGAAATATATTTCATTCGTGAACACCAGCTATTATATTTTCACTCGTGGCTACGCCACTCGTGAAATATTGCATCTGGTGTTCACTCAGTGAAATTATATTTCAATCTTACATGCAAAACAAACAAATATCCTCTATATAAACTCGGGATTTATTTATATCGACTTGTATGAAAATCAATATATCAAGTTTCATACCACAAGATTTTTTTTTGGAAAAAAAAACCTTAAATTTTATGTTCATTACATATTGTTTTTTTTTCCATTCTTTTTAGGTTATTGTATATTTGAAACGTTGATATTGTTATTAATATTTTAACATTGTGAAGTTATAGTACAATAGCAAGACATGTATGGCTCTGGGTGTCAAGTGAACTTTGCAACACACCAGACAGATACACTAGTCAATGTTATTTCAACAGTTTTATTTTTTGTTTAGTATAGTTACTTTAATCCGGGATTACAAATAAAATAAATTGTAATAATATAATTTTCTTATCCTTAAATGTTACAAGAAACTAGAAAAAACGGACCTGATAAGAATTAGAATAAATATATATATGTCTTATTAAATATATAAGGGAATTAGAATAAACCTAATACAGTTCAGTTCTAATATGGTACTTACTATGTTACTTACTATCATAAAAAACAGGGTCAAAAATTTATAACTACAAAGTTCCTGATAATGTGTATAAAGCAGAGAAATATAAAAAATAATGTTTTTATAAACTATAAATTTAAAGCTCATTAACTATAACTACACTAAAAAATTAAAAAAATTGCAAACAAGGTTTATATATTCATTCTCGAATTGTAATGAGTACTGACGAATATAAATGTATCAGCATTACACATACAGTGTATCAGCATTACACATTCATTTTCAAAGGACTGGTTTTAAGTGGTGGCAAAGATGTAATTTCTTGAGATTATGTACATATTGCGGGCTAACGATATAATAGCCACTCTTTCATCAACCTTTTTTCTTATTAAGTCCGAATCAAGCAGTATCCGAATAATACGTCATGCAAGCTGTCTGTCACAGAGATATTTTATTGTGGTTAATATTGTTAAAGTTTACGACATTCCATTCACGATTAGCCCCTTCCGGAAATCGGAAAACATCACGCAGGCTATAAATTACATTTATTTATCATCTATTATTAATTATGTTTGCTATAAGTATGTATAAATATTTGTTTTAGATACGGCGACATAGTCTTTGAGTAATGTACATACAAGTATTATTTAAATTTGGCTCATAAAATATTTTATTTAGGAATTGAGGAACAGCAGTCTAACAGTCGCCAACAATTCCTGCAGAGCGGTCCTGCAATTCTAGCGTCGTATTATATAAATGCGCGAGCGCGCCCTTGATTGACCTCGCGCACGCTCAAGAGCATTAGAACCAGTTTCAATATTATAGAATAAACAAATACTTTCTATCAACGGTTTGATATTTATAACTTCCAATCATTTTTATCTGAGTGGAACTACTCAACATTTAAATTTGCAAGGGCACAATCTGTCTTTTTTGAAAATAAAACTTTTTCAACATTAAGATATTATTTAGGTACAAATAAGTCCTCAATCAGTCTGTAACCCTTCCAGATTCGCCTATAATAGAGGTTACACTTTCCAATCAACCATGTTTTGATATTTTATAATCAATACTCGTTCAATACGTACAAATACCCCTTCCTTCTTATGTAATAATAATCACTGTCCGTCTTTCCGCTCGTCTATCAATTATGTCCGGAACGTAACTAAAAAATTATTTGAGATATCATATATACAAAGTAAATTTCACATCATTTCTTAATGTAGAGAATTCTTATTTTTCTTTTTCATTTACCATTTGTTTATCTATCTCAAAGTTGTTTTTCTAGCCACAAACGTAAGAGAAAAAAAAAACGACAGACACATTAACATTTTTAGAGAACAACGTTATTTTACATATATGCTATTCACTTAATGTATTCATAAAACGAGATGAAAATATTATTTTGTGCAACGAATTCAAGGAATTAATTACTTAACCTAAGCGAAATACATTATTTTATTTATCAAATATCTAAAATAAGAACGGTTTATAGTTTAAAAAAGATCTTTTTTATTGATTGTAATTCCCATGCATTTTCCATTGTTGTATTTATTTTTGAAGTATGCCAATAAGACTTACTGCAGGTAAATTGGTATGATGAACAAAAAATGAATGAGTATTACTTATAATTACTGAATTCAATTGGGATTGCTTTTTGACTTCCTAAAATAAAAGTCAAGTTCACTGTAACTAAAATAGATACTCTGTTTCCGGTCATTTAAAAAAAGTTTGAAATTAGATTTTTCAATAAATCGTGTTAATCTCTGTTACAAGTTTATGTGAATATCTCAATTCAGAATGCTTTTGGATAATGTAGTTTAATTACTGGAGTCTTAAATGAGATTATTCATTGGAACCTAGCGCCCAACAGCTTATATCAAGACCTTGCTTTTGAGAGCTTCTGCCATCTTCCCCCTACACCCAAGGATGAAGTTCAAAATCCCTGCTTATAACAAAATAAAAATCAATAATTAAAGTTTAAAACCAAAATATTCTATGAGCAGGGTTTATTGTAAGCTTATGTTACGATTGAGCATGGGATTGTTTTTGGAACCCTTGGATTAAAGCCAATGTCACTAGTATTAAAAAAGACCAGTTTCGGGTCAGTAGTTAAGAATGATACATTCTATGACAATAGTGTGTATTTGTAGCAAACGTATTTGAGATTGCTTTTGACACCAGTCGGGTCACGGCCAATGACACTTTTACTAAAAACTGAACAACCGTTTCCAGTCAAAAACTAGCGTAAGATATTTCGAAGAGACTTGATGGTTACCAAACTGATGTAAAATCCCCGCTTTGGATTGCATTTTTTTACTTCCAAGGGTCAGGGTCACATTTTTGAATAGAAAATAGGTTTCAAGTACGTACTTATATTCTGGAATGAGATACTTAAATTAAACCTTTTGTTAAGCAATCGGAAACCTCACATAGGATTGCTTTTGAGCCCCATTTGATCAAGATCAAGACAACTGATAATTAACATAAAACATGATAAGTAGAGTAAGGAGTGAGATATTACCACGGGCAGAATGTCGAGTCCGCTTATCTTAATTCAAACCTGAAACTATAAGCTTCAGATCAAGGAGAAATATGTGTACAAAGATGTGCTGTGCACAAAACATCGTCCAAACTCTTCACATTGAATCATCTTAGGTGACCTTGACCCCCTACCCGGTAACCTGGTCCATGTGCATGACATGAAGTTTCATGATAAAAATTTGTGCCTAAAATACTCAATTCATATTACTTGAAAATTCCTCCATACACAAAGACGTTATGGTATGGACAAGTTTGGACACACACACACGCACACGCACGCACACACACACACACGCACACTCGTGCGCACACGCACACATACACACACACGTCATTTTGACAACTATGTCAAGCTCAGCGCAAGCGGGCTTAACAAAAGTCCTCTGACCATTAACTAAGCATGATACTTCAAAGCATTAGCAAGATACAGTGCAGAGAAACAAATTTTTACATTCTTATTTGACTTTTGACTTCTTGAGACCCTGATCTTCATCTTGGTCAAGACAACTCAACTCACCATTGAGAGCATCTGTTCTAAGTTATATTAAAATCCATCGATGTATATTCAATTGATTCCAAAATGAATGTTTTAATTTGTAATTATATCTTTGATCCTTAAGTAAGACCTTAATCTTAACCACAGACATATAAATGTTTTGTGCGACACTTTGCCTCACTAAGAAGAAGATTTGTCCCGAGTAATATTAAAATCTAATTACGCATGTAGAAGGTTTGCTCCGGACACGGGTTTTGCGCCGATGCCCCGCCCCAGTGTGACCTTGACCTTAAAGGCAAACCTGGGTTAAGCATGTGACACACCACTCCTTCATGGTGAACATTTGTGTAAGTCTATTTTGTAATCCTTCAAAGAATGAACAAGATATAGACCGGACAAATAAAGACGAACGCACGGAGTGATAGACACATATACACCAAATTGCTTAAAGTGAAGAGTCAATTCAAAATCTTAAAAATGTTTTAATTGATGCATGATAGTTTTTGGTTTACTATCTTTCTTTGTACATATTTTTTATTTTATAATATCTAAATGTGGTAAATGAAATATTTTACAATAACTGTGACGTATTCGTACGTTTTCGTCATAAGTTTGTTATTAAAATACAAGTACAATAATTAGCTACTATTTTTCACAGACTTTCAGTTCCTTTTTTCTCATTTCATACTATACATAGCATAAAATAGGCTATATTTTTTATCGTTTTATTGATGAATTTGGTTATTTATTTATTCTGTCAATCAGTCAATTTGTAATTTATTATTTAATTATTTGTCATTTTTATCCATTTATTCGGTTGATCATTTATTTGTTGGTTGGTTGATTGTTTGATTGATTGATTAATTTTTATTTTTTTATTTCTTTCCTTTTTTCTTTATTTGTTTTTACAGAGTTGGACTCACGTTTGCGGGGGCTCATTGATAGGAGATAGATGGATTCTTACGGCTGCTCATTGCTTCTCTACAAGGAAAGTTACAAAAGTTCACTTGAGTGAGTAAATCAGTTAAAGATTCATTATAATTATACAGACAGCCACTTTGAAATTTCATTTGATTTCTTTCACGGGAACTGAAATATTTCATAGCACTGGATTAACTTGCGTGTCATAACCAACAGTGGTATCAATCATGTTTTATGTCATTAAATCGTTTAAAGGCATATTTATTTTCATTTAATTTAATGTGTTTAATCACGACTGTGATAAAAAGAATTTACTTACGTTGCCATACAATAGCAAATCATATTTACTTTTATGAAAGCGAGCCTTTTCGACCTTTATACAATTTTCCACCACTCGTTAAGCATCATCTAAAATGTTATATAGCAAGGAATGTGGGATCATGTATACAAAAACGCCAAGTTGCACAAAATGAAAACATTACATTTCCTTTTTTTCAAACAAGAGCCCGTTACACTGGCAATAATTATTACCTTCCATAGCAACTATCGATCTAAGACTTAGTATAAATCCTACTCACGTAACGTATGGATACAATTTTATTTAGAATTTCTGAAGAATTAAAAGATCCAACGGCCCTGGCATAAGTCTTGGCATAAAAGTGAATTAAATCAAGAATACAAATTGCTCACAACTGCCTTTAACAGCATCTGGGATAAGTTTGCAAATCAGAAAATTTCGCAAATCCAACTACCCTTTTGAATACAGTTTCAATACAAAAAGCTAAATTAAACAGTTATTTGGATGGAAATAGACAATTATTGGTCGTTTATATAAAGATACCACAATCACTGAACGCTAGACAAGTGCTCAAGTGTGGCCTGCCATAGGGTTTCTTCCACCAAAAAATAAGATTATGATTCTGTTTCATTCGTAATTTAAGCAAATTTTTGTGTACCCTGGAATTACAAAATAATATCAGAGGAGGAACAATCTAAGTTTTGACATAAGTTGAGAATGCTTCACGCTGAATCATCATTTTCTGTTGCATTTCTGTATTGCGTCACGACCGCTATCCGTATGTTTGAACAAAATATGTCTGTTTGAAGTTATGTCTGTGGTAACGAGGAAAGAGAAAATGTACTCTTTGTTCTACTTTAGTATGTTTTAATCGGTTTTGAAATAAAAGAACAGGCTTTGAAAATATGAAATGGTATTGGATTGTTTATGTGTGCCGCCTTTCCTCTCCATATTATTTCTTATGTCAACAGTCGCGTTGTATGGCCACACTGTCAATTGCATATATTTACCAGGACAATAACGTGATAGACTTTGTTTCTGAATAACCTAGATTTGTATTCTGATTTTGAACAGGTAGAAACATTATCAATTTGAATCATTTGCATTAATTTATTTCTTCTAACTGTATTTTGATTTGTTGGGGATACATGATTGTGTTCAGCATATATATCAAACGCTTACTTACCAGCTTTTGCACACAATTTAAAACCGGAGACAGATATAGTGCATGTAAATCGACATTAAATGAACGTTGCCACGGTCGTTTCTTATTGTAAGATTTATATTAGGTGAATCTTTTTATCTACGGATAAAATAAAATTTAAACTTACGAGTGGCTTTGGGAAAAAAATTCAGATTTGATAAACTCTAAACTACAAATATTTCGATTCATCTTAAGATCTTTTGTGCTTTCAGAGCATTTTGAAATATACGTTTTAGTTTTTGTAAGAGCATTGAACAAGATCTCATGAATCATTTTGCATTATTGTAAAAGAGAAAGCTAATAAAATCGACATTAGCGATCACCACTGTTTAAGCTTGACATGGTTTGTACATGCATAGTTTTAACAATACTCTGAATATTTTGTATATATTGTGTCAAATGTTATATAAAAAAACTGAAAAGATACTTAAGGTGACATTATCCCTATCATCTTAGTGTAAATGATAAGCGCACAGAATTGGAATTATGTCATGTTTAAGAATACATGTTTATTGTACGATGGGTGTTCGTGAAGTTTAAGGACTTTTGCTGAATTTTTTTCCTTAATGGTGCGTTTTTATCCATATCTCACAAAATGTAATTTAGATATGTGCTCAATATGTAGTAAAACGCAACAAGAATAGACAAATACCGTTCGAAATTTCTTTCTATAGGAACCGCATAACGCATACCCTGAGCACTCCGATTTTATCGTATTTAAGTTAATGGTACCGATATATTTAATTGATAGTAATTTTCCTAAATTACAATGGATAAAGTCACGAAAAGGCACGAGCGTTAAATACAACGTCAACGTCATTTCCTGAAAATTCTACTCATAAATCGTTACATTTGTTTGAGTAACAACGGTTTTAACATCACTGGTGCTTACACAAATCAAGAGAAAATGACGTCAATAGGCGACGTTGAAGTCAGGGCAATCATCAAATTTTGTGTAAGAATAGAAAAGACACCAACGGAGAAAATGATTCAGGCATCTAGTACAACAAAGAAATGCTGTAGATCGCTAGTATTTAGATGGCACGACATGTTCCGAAACGGAAGAGAGTCAATAGAGGATGACAAGCGATGTGGTCGACCATCGGTGGTGAAAACTGGAGTAAAAGACAAGGTTCGGCAACTGATAAAGGAAGATCGACGACGCACTGTGCGAGAAATGTCAAGTGAACTTGGTGTATCTGTGTCCACCGTCCACGATTGCCTAAAAGAAGACAATATGTCGAAAGTAAGCGCCAGGTGGGTCCAAGACTTCTGAAGAACGACGAGCGGGAACGCAGATTACACTGTTCCCGAGAATTCGTGCGACGCGTCGAAGGAGAGGGGTTGTCATTTTTAAATCGCATCATCACTACGGACGAAACTTGGTTGTTCCACTATGATCCCGAGTCGAAACAGGAATCATCTGTCTGGAAAACTCCCGGAAGTCCTCCTCCAAAGAAAGCGCGGGTTCAGAAAAGCGGCGGAAAACACATGTTCGTGTTTTTCATGGACAGGCGGGGAATGCTATTACAGCACCGTATCCCGGAAGGACAGACTGTGACCGCCAATTATTACTCAAAGGTAATTATAGACACTTTTAAATGATAATTTGTTCTATTTTAAATATAAGATAAAACTAATCAAATAAATGAAAAAAATATATTGAATTATTTTTTTAATACGCTATTCATAGAAAACTTAATCATTTTTATGATTTCAGGTTCTAAGGCGGGATCTCGTCCAGGCTATACGGTAGAAGCGCCCCGGGATCGACCTCGACCAGATTATTCTTCACCAGGACAACGCCCCCGGCCACCGTGCACAGTCAACGCAGTTGGAAATCAGCCTCCTGGGATTCGAGACGCTCGAGCATCCACCCTATAGCCCGGACCTCGCGCCGATGGATTTCCGAGTTTTTCAGGAAATCAAAGCACAGTTGCGTGGTCGACGCTTTGATTCCGGGTTGGAACTACAAATTGAAACCCAGAGAATAGTCATTCGACAACATCTGGTACGAGGACACGTACGACAAATGGGTCAAGAGGCATAGAAAATATATCGCTGTGAATGGAGATTACGTCGAGAAGTGAGTCGATATGACGATCGGGCAAATTTGACGTCAACATGTTAAGCACTGACGTGACGTGACGTTAGCGTGCTTCGGGTATGCTTCGGTGTATGTTTTGTTTTATTTGTAATTTACTAATTGTTTAATGTATTTCAATGTAACTTTTACAGCTGGCTGTAAAATATGGTGTTTTTCTTGTTTTTCAATTCCTATTATCTATCAAACTACAGCAAAAGTCCTTAAACTTCCCGAACACCCCTCGTAGTTGCTATATTTCGTTTCGTGAAAAAATAAATCTTATAAATTGTGTACAAAGTAATGCTGTAGATTTATGTAATTTAATGTTTTAGGAAAACTTGAATTGTATGAAGAAATAGGAATCGAAGAGCAAGAGATCTCACAGGAGAATATATATGTACACCCAGGATACGACGAAAAGAACAAACCTAAAAGACTGTATAACATTGCATTAGTTAAACTAGATGAAAGGATAGAACGGAAACCCGAGTTGCTGCCAGTTTGCTTATGGGACAAAACCATTTAAAGTATATCTTAATTTTGAACTTTTAAATAAATGAAATCTAGTTTACTGAACACATATGTCTAGCTAACAAGCAATGGCTTGTGCACATCTTTATTTTAAAGATAAGACAGATATGGATTAGTGTGGCTTAGTTAGTTTGGCTTTGTTGAATTTGGGTTAAGAATTTCAAAGTTATAATAGATATCTTTAACAAAAATTATAATATTTTAACGTGCACTCAGAAATTAGCATAGCTCGTGTACGATGCAATATCATCCAAGCTTTTAATGTATTTTCTTTCGCTAACAATTAATAAGATTTGAAGAAATAAAATGTTTCGTTTTCATGAAATAAAAAGGTTTTCAAATAAAACGAAATAAGATTTCACTCATGCGTTATGGTTGCAACACTAATGCTTTTCGTTTACAGAACGCGGATAAGTGTGCTTAATATAAAATGCTTAATAATTTCTACGTGTCGGGTTATGTTCCTGGCACTAAATAATAAGTGACGGTAAAGCCTACTTATTATGTGTTACGATATATCCCTTGTAGTGTGTTATATTTTACGTTATCGCTTCATTATTTGATCATGTCTACCGGTATCGTTCTATTATCTTATTATATGTTACTTTAATGCTTCATTATGTGATTATGTTTAACATTGTTGCTTTTCAGGTTAAATTATCCTACGAAATCACTCATATAGGTTATTAAAGGTTACGATTATGGGTTATATGTTATGATATTACTCTGTTAATATATTGTACGATATTGATCTATTCGGTTATAATATACCACGAGTTTGAATTTTAAGGTAATAATATCTTAATAAACCGCTCTGTTATGTCAATATTTGTTTGTAATATCGCCCCCTTATGATGAAATATGTAACAATTACGACGCATTAGATCTGATAAATGACGATATCAATCTTTTCAATTTTGATATGTAACAATATCACTCTTTTAGATTAATATATATAACGATTTTTTTCTCTTATGCTATTATTAGTTACGATATCGCTCCTTTAGGCTATTATGTTACGATATTGTTTAAAGAGGATATTCCATGTTATCTTTTGTCGTTATGTCATCATGTATGGGTGAAACATTGCTTAAAGTAACATTTATTTTTTTCAAGAAAATGTGTTGATTTTTCAGATTCTTAAAGTCTAAAATATATGTGACAAGGTGATAAATACTTAAATTAAAGCTGTGCATGTGATACATATTTCAGGCAAAACTAATGTTACCTATGAAAAACTTTTTACTAAAACATACGGTGTCGTCACTGGTTGGGGTAAAAGAAACATGAGATCTTTTAACTATGCAAGAACGCTGAAACAAATGCAAATGGAAGTGAAATCATCCAAGGAATGTCTGGAAAACTTGACGACCGTAGAGAAGGCTGAAGTCAACACTGAGCTTATGTTTTGCGCCGGTGGAGAAGGTTTCTCAGTTACATTATTCAAAGTATTTCTATAATTCGGAAGGAATTCAACCAGTTGTTACATTATGTTAAAAGATAATGTACTCAAGATCCAATTAAGCGAATATCCGTCAATTGTTTATATATGCACTTTCCTAGTGTTAGTCACTAAGTTCGTTGATTAACTTGCTGCATGCATTGTAAATGTAAGTATAGATTGTATTTGTTACTGTCACTAATCATTTGCATGAACGAAATCGTTTTAGAAAAAGTCGGTGATGAAATCCAATACATTCACGCATGCGCAGGAGATAGTGGTGGTCCTTTTGTTGTTCGTCATCCCCTGAATGAAAACAAATTCCTTCAGATCGGTAAGTATTTTATTATTTCATTTGCATAATTCAAATTTCTACTTCAATAATCAATAAAGGCATTCATATTTACGAATTCTAGCGACAATGATAATCTTAATGTGTTAAATGGTTAGCAAATATGACTTGGTAACATTTATATTTTGATTCATTTTTGATGAGAAAGGAAGAAGGAAAACTTTAAAAGTCTATATACCTGTAAAATATATTAAGTGAACACAGTAGCTAATGTAAGTGAAATTTCTATGCAACTAAAACAATTTTTGTTTGTTTGAAAATGTAAACATAAAAAACAATCTGCAATTTAGGGATAGTTTCATTTGGGTTCACATGCAAGGAAGAGGGCATATATGGATTCTACACGAAGCTCACAGAAGAACTTCTAGACTGGATACATTACACGATAGACAACGAAGATAATCAAGGTTAACAAATACATTGAAACACACAGTTTATGATCTCTGATAAATGGGTTTTAAAGTATTCATTGTGCAGAGTAAAAGAATGTTTATGACTGCAGAAAAGTTCCGAGACGGCTTGTGTTTTAATAAATCTACAAAATTTGATGTAGAGAAGCTAAATCATTGACACTTCAAATAAAGTGAATATGTGAGTGTCTTAAACTTATTCATGCCGTTTATTATATTTTATGTGTTTTATTTTGCCAGATATGTTTGTAAATACATGTACATGTAAATGAAAATATTCAATTTTGCTGGATTATTTTCACTCTTTGGTGTATTTTACTCAAACTGGCTTAAAGATTAGCTCAGTTTTCTAAATATTAAAATAAAGCTACCAACAGCACCTATTTTGATCAGACTGAACTGGTGTACAGGTTGCCCTGGTATTACTTTACTGGTTATTACATTGTATATGTCTACAAGTTAAGTGATGAGTTTGGAAAAATGTCAATATTCAAGTAAACTCCCCAAAATGCTGTCGATTACTAATAGACAACAGAACTTTGTCTTTCGGAGGTATACGATAAAACGCTCTATCGCTCCATTTTAGCTAGTGCATAATATCGGATTTTAGTGCCGGAAGTAGCAAAATAGCGATTTATCGTATACCTTCGACGAAAGAGGTAGCCCTGTTGTTTACCTTGAATTGACAGCACTTAAGGGGAAGTAGTTTGAAATTATCCATCATCAGAGGACATAAATGGCTAACTTTATACGATTGCCTCCTTGTGTTGTTTTGTTTACATGTCATCTAATTAAAGGGCTTACATAATCAATTAAAATAATACCTTAGACGTGGAAGATAAGAAAAGAAGAAAAACAGAAAGAAAAGCTCATTCAATTTATATTTTTCTTTTTCTTGATAAAAAATACATGTATATACCATTATATCATAGCGAATGAGGAACACTTAAAACTTGTCCATTAAAGCAGGAAAGAACGTGTCACAGACTTAGTCTTTTTTGTTTACGATTTATTTTCATTGGTGGGTTTGATCAACACAAGCTTAAATTCATACCCCTCCTTGCACTGTCGACTTGATAATTATGTTTCATTGTTATAAAGCCTTACCCACGAAAATGTTTCCCTCGAAAAAACATTTACGTTAACAATATTTCTCATACCAAAATCATAGACACCATACGTGAATAAAAACCATGTCTTAGCGAAATAGTTGAAGAAAAACAACAAAAATGAATGTCTTTCTTTTATATCTTTAGTCGAAAACCCTTGAGTTTAAATTAAACATTCGACAAAATTATTACTTGTTTTGACAACCACGGGTTAACATCAGGCGTTCGAAATTGGACTGGATCGTATAAAGTGTTCTATATTTTCTTCTATTTATCCTAAACTGCTAAGGACTTATATACTCCATGACTAATGTTGTTCCCATTATTGGATACAGGAGCCTGAAAATAAAGAACATTGTTAACTGAATTTTAACCACATGTTTTCCTAACGTATTGCTGGTTTAAAGATGTTTTTATGGTTTCTCAGAGTTTTATTTGGTCTAAATGATATAGTGTTTCTTTGTTTATACAATTTGGTGTACTTTATCCGGTGCCCGGGAGATGAACGGTAGCTAGGTTTCTACTGCCGTCCATAAAAAGACTAAATCAAACCAAGCTTGCAACATAATCACTAAGTACGTGTTTTGCAACCTTCAAACATTCAATTTTGATTATGTAAAACATTTCATAATACAGTGTAATGTTCTTGTTACTAAATAGAGTACGAACGCAATTCCATACATTGTTAAAAAAGATAATTACAGCGTCAGTAAAGAAACAAATATAATTTGATTTCTACATTAAACGGACATACTGTTTGATATACATAACATAATTCATCTTGCCTTTTAACAATATTTTAAATTCGCAAATTATTAGTATGGCATGATCCTTATTCTTTCAAAACAAAACCATTCAAAACAAAGTATATTAAAGAATCTTTTAGTTACGAATGTCTGTCATCAAAGGTTCTGTAGCCATCTTTGCCTATAATTATGTACGTTTTTCCTTCTTCCAATTCTTGAAATTTTGAGAAAAAACGCATATCGTCGCCTTGTGTAAGACGCTCTTGCCCTGAAAGATGGCATTACAAGTACAATGCTGTAAAAATATGGGCAGATGCTATTCCGAATTATGTTTTAAAAAAGTAATGCAGACGGTACACTCAAAATATCGTCGACACTTGCTTAGAAATCTACATTAATTGTTGGTCGATTTTGCATCCGCGTTACATACGAGTATTTGCAGTAACAAGACCGTAAGTAATTATTTGATGCCATCAAGCGTTTGTTGAATTCGTTTAATTAATGATTAGAGCCGTATAAAATCAAAACGCTGTTCAATTTGTTATCACACAAATCCATTTAACAAGAAAAGTTAGTATTGGATTTAAACATTGAGACAAAAAAAAAATACCACTCAATACGAATGCAATAAGCATGAGGGTGTCTATCACAATCAAGTGATTATTGATCATTAATAAGGCCTGCATGAGGAACAAAGGCTAAAATCAAAAGAAGAGGATTTTTATAAGTTAAAACAAATTATGATATGTACTTTCATTTATTGAATTTTACTTAATATTTACATGAAAATAAATGGAACAGGAGCACCTAGCCTCTCTTGCATCTAGTCTAGCTTTAGGTAATGTATTAACATACTATACTTTTAAAAAATTATCAAAACGAAACAATTGAAGTTTGTCCATGACTATTTTTAACAAGACTAGATAAAAATTTAATTCTTTTCAATAACACATTCAAAACATCATACTACTATTTGAAGGACATCGGAGAACAGAGGTCAGAACAATAAGTGTATTATCAAATGATTATGAATGTTTTAAAATCCTTCAGTTTGTTAATATATATTTGACTTTCATGCAAAACTGTATATAGGCAACACAAATAGGTATCTTAATCAAATAGGTATTTACGACCGTCAAAACACAGTAAAATTTAAAACACTTTGTTAACATATTGTATCTAACTATCTTTGCAAAATAGAAAAGTATGTGTGCAGCCATGAAAAACTATTTCTTTAAAAGTTATCAAAAATTGTACTAAAATTTTAGTGTTGTCTGCTACAGAGTTTTTACTAGTTACATGACTTGTTTAAAACTACTCTGTGACTCTATCGGCGTCTTATTTCGTTCAATATTTTTAAGTAAGCCGCTTTAAAGTCGAAAATTGCGGCTAAACTGACCGTCTAATTTTACACAGCTTTAAGGAAAAAATAATTTCCGTTGAATGCTGTAGAATTTAAGATATTTTGTCCGCCAATGGCTTTGTGATACCCATAACAGTTGCCAAGGATACGCAACGACGCCATGTTAAAAAACGGGCTTTGATGGTCACTTTTGACGTCGTTTGGTCAAAAATTGACTGAAATTATTTGAATAAAATGAATGGAATCTAATCAGCAATATGGTCAACTTTATGCATTTCAATTTTTAAGAGGCAAATCGAAAGTTCTCAAAGTGTCGGGTTCTACCTTAAGCCCAAAATATAAAGTATTTTTACAGAAATTTATGCTAGGACTTTTGTCATTTTAGCATGATTTGATTAAAGTGACATTATGCACATTCAAGGGTATAAATGAGTGAACAGGTGAAAGTCAATATAGGTTTTCATTTTGCCATTATTACTTTTAATGTAAACATTATTTCACATAAACAATAATCAACGCATGAATCCAAATGATTGTTTCGTAAATATTCATTAAAATTTACCTGTAACTGTCAGTCCATAAAAAGAGTGGGGCAGTCTTTTTACATTTTAGGCAGATTTAAATTTGATCCTTCACATTTTCCAACATGAACTGTTTCCAACATTTTAACAGTCAATATTTTGAAATATATAGTCAGTTCAGCTCAACTTGACTATGAAAATATGAGCATAATGTCATTTTAAATAAGATCAATTTAATATTCTTGTCATTCATTTGCCTAATATTATAATTATACTAAATAAAAAATGTTGTTGATGAAGATGAACGTCATGATAGTTGTTGCTTTTATAGTGATATAGTAATGATGATGATGATGATGACTATTCTTACCTTGATTTAAACTGGCCATAACAGTGCCTCTTGCAAGTTTCACGTTTGCATCGAAATCATTTGATACATTGTATATTCTAACGCGTACAGATGAAATATAAATGTAGTTTATATAAAAAATGACTAAGTAACTTGTATTTATGTTGAAATAAATTTTAAAAAAAACGGAATTAACATATGAGAACTAACGCATTGGATTAAATATTTTTTTCTCGCCTCAAAGTACTCCGAATATCCGTCTCATACTATTTGAAAAACATGCCAATCAATTGTTGAAATTATCTTATACATGTATATGAAACATTTTACATACCAATATAAACGGTAGTGACTAAAAAGAGCAAAATAACCTGTATTGTGTTCGACATTTTTGCAAGTTAGATAAAACATGTTTATGCTTAATCCTTATGCTATTTGAAAATATAACAACAAAATACTCATTTAGAGCAATATCATAACAATTCACCTTTACAATCTTTAAATCTATCATCAAAGACTCTTTCTCTGTTGATGAAATACAAACATTTAATGCTCTTTCAGTTTCTTGTACTTTGAGTCAATTTTACCGCAATTTATTAGCGTCATTTGGAATCTAATTGACCTATAACTTACCATAGTTTGCTTTGTTTAAGTTACATGCGTAGTGTAGCAATTCAAACACAGGACGCTTTCCACTCTTTGCTAACAGTACAATTTCTCTTTCAACTTGTTTAACACACATACCTACGAAAAATATAATACTTAACATTGGTTTGACTAACATTATTTTTAAAAAAAGGGACACGATGAACCTGGATCGCTCACCTGAGGTTGAACAGGTAACAGTTATTGACAGCAAAAAGCATAATACAACATATCTAAACCCTTGTCATTGTAGTTTTGGGGAAGAAAAACTTAAAGAGTATTTTTGTATATAGATCTAAACAAACTTAATGACAAATTTTATCCAGGGACAAGATTTTTTCAACTGATGAAGAGGACCACAAAGCGATGCTTAATACCAAATATCTAAGAAGAAGAGAAGGATATTTTAATAAAAATATTAATTATGATAAGCCTATGTAAAATACAAGACATCAAGGGCGGGTTCTTTTTTACCCCTTGAGCATTAATTACATACCTTTGGTGGACGTCTACTAAATTAAATCAAGACCAAGTACAAAATATCAAAGATATGGTCTTTGTAGATTCACAGAAGAAGACATGAATTTATTTTCGAATATACGGTTATATAAACTAACTTACCCCTAAGTTACTTAGGTCTGTAACCTGTCAAATGTCATAGCTCTTGTAATGTACTTTCACAAAAGAAGACTTAAATGCATTTACCTTCATAAGCGGAGTCAAATATCTACCTACCCTTATAGTAGGTGTTCGCAGCTATATTTTCATAGTTATTGGCAAAGCGATCCTTATAAGTGTCTTGGGATAGACTGCCATGTTGTGTCCGAGAAAATGTTGGACATGGGGTTGCTAAAATGGAAAGTTGAGTTTGAAAAATTCTGAATGAAAAAAAAAATGTAGAATGACTAAATTACAAACAACATTTCTAGTCAATCAATTAATATTTTTAATTGCATCAGAAGGAATGCGAATAATGGTTCATTAAAAGTTGAATTTGGATACAGAAATTTTAAATTAGTTGTTTTAGAGCAATTAAATCCAACGGAACGGGTTTAGTCGTGATAATTAGCACTATTTTTTTCTCGTTTTAGGTTTAAAAATGAATAAACTGTAAAGTAAAGACGCCTCCGTGATTGAAAAAAGTTATTTTCGCCAGTTATTTTCACCAGTTTTAGCTGTTAAGCTCAAATTCAATTCACTTTATGCTTTTTTTCCAAACACTAGACCACATGTACGAATTGTATAGTTTTGTCTTTAAAACTGAATTTGATTTACCGTCAATGAATTCTTAATGAATTTAAATCTAATGTAAATTTCTTCCATGGAGATTTTCTGATATATTTTCAAATAATAACATAAAGCAGTAATGTTTGTTTACAATGGTTTATAGATACTGCGGGCAAAATGAGCCATTACTCAATAAAACAATTGTTACTTCAATTTAAACAAATGTTTGTGCTAGTTACCAGCCAGACGTTGAGTACAACTGGACCTAGTACACCATGGTCTCCAGTCAAGGGCGGAAATGGAAGCAATTACTTCCGGTTGAGTATCACAAGAATCTTAAACATAAAGTTAACTTGTTCATGTTAATCCCTTCTGATATTTTTTTATCTTATCAAGCTTATAAACAGAACACCGCTCTAATAAATACATTGGTATCATGATATCATTATCTAAAACAAAGGACATTTACCTTGACAAGTTGGTTCATGGCCACTCCATGTTCCGTCTGACTGACACGTTCTTTCAACTATCCGAATTTGTGCATCGCCATTCAGGATATAGCCTTTGAAGATGAAACAAGAAATCATTTGTCTCTGCGTTTTTATTATTGACTTTTGTTGTTGTTTTTTTTTTAATTTTATTTTTGTTTGTTTATGCAATTTAATGAAGTCCCACATTTTACCCGTTCCAGAACTGTATCATGGCTTGCAGACTCAATTTAAATAGGTTATCAAAATAACATGTCACTTCAAAAGCACTGCATTCCTTCTCCTTGAGATTTGTGCACTTCTACTCAGTGAGATTATCTACCAAAGTTTTAAGTTGTTACACTTTACAATTTTCATGTTACCGTATGTCCGGACAAAGTTCGAAGTGTAAAAGTGAACAAAGGGCAATAACTCTCAAGGGAGGGATATGGCTTTTATACTCCGTGAGATCTTATTACCTACAAAGTTTCAAAGTGTTACCGTTTATTGTTATCAAGTTTTGTCCTCAAAGTTCAAAGTGTAAAAATGAAATAAGGGCAATAACTTCAAAATTAGGGAAGGGACGGTTACGGTTCTTTTGCACTGCACTTCTCATCCAGATGTATTCACCTACAAAATTCATTTTGACACCCTCTATGGTTCTCGTGTTTTGTCCCGTGAAAAATTTATAGTGTAAAATGAACAAAGAGCAATAATTCCAAAATTAGGAAACGGAAGGTCATAGTTCTTATGCACTGTACTTCTACTCAGTGATAACTGTCTACCTACAATGTTTAAACTTGATACCTTTTATAGTTCTCATTTCATGTCCCGGATCATGTTCAAAGTGTAAGAATAAACAAAGAGCAATAACTCCAAAATTAGGAAACGGAAGGTTATACTTCTTATGCATTGCACTTCTACTTAGTGCGATTTGTCTGCCTACAGAGTTTTAAGTTTATACATTTGATGGTTCTGAAGTAATGTCCCGGACAAAATTCTAAGTGTAAAAATGAACAAAGGGCAATAACTCCATAAGTCGGGATGGAAGGGTAACGGTTTTACTCCCTGCACTTCTACTCAGTAAAATATATTTACCTAAAATGTTTTAAGTTGATACCCTTTATAGTTTTTAATTTATGTCCCGGTCATAGTTCAAAGTGTAAAAATGATCAAATGGCAATTTTTTCAAAAATAGGTTAAACACTGTAACGGTTCTTTTGCACCGCACTTCTACAAAATGAGATCTATCTACATACAAAGTTTTAAATTGATACCTTTAACAGTTATCTTTACAGTTACCTTTTACTTTGTCCCGGACAAAATTGTAAGTGAAATAATGAACAAAGGGCAGTAACTTCAAAATTATGGAAAGGGATGGTTACGGTTCTTATGCACTGTACTTCTAATTATTCAGATCTATCAACCTACAAAATTTCAAGTGATTTCCCGGACATTATCATAAGATATTATACACTTTAATTGAATAACCTTTACATTTTTATTTGATTTTAGATAAAAGCAATAAAGGAGTTTTTCATAAAAATAGTTGGGTCAACATATATTTCTTATTTATGTGTAGGGTTTTGTTAAAACAACAATTTTCACAAATTAATGATAAAATCCGTAGCGTATCTTATATCACTTGTCCAGACTTTTGTATGTCGCATTATTTTCGTCATTTGCTAACAACGAGAACATGAGTTACATAACCATATTTAACAACATTTTTATTAAATGGAGAAAAATGATTTTTCATTATTCACACAAGTATTATTATAATCATTTTTAATAGGAATCACAGACAAAAAATGCAAAGGTCCTTACCAAATTCACAAGTGTACTCAGCTACGCTATCATAGTTATTTGCAAGGCCATCACTTGTGTCTTGAAATATACTACCATGCTGTATCTGAGGCAGAGGTGGACATAGAATTGCTAAAAAAGAAAAGTAAAAGATGTGAACAATTTTCGACATCAATATTTAAAGTAATCAACAAATCAACCACTCAATGAATTAAACAAACAACTAGTAAATAAATCAACATATTATTAAAGTGTATCTGAAGGACTGGCGGGTGATGACACATTGAAAGTTAAAGTTGGACACTACACAAAATAATTCGTTGTATTAGAGCATCAAAACAAAACTGAATGGGTTTAATCGATAGTGTTTCATAGCATTCCTTTCCTGTTTTTTCTGTGGTATTACAAATGATGAAACTGTATGGACTAATGAAATTAACGCCTTTCGACACTTTGTCAACGTATACTAAGAAACCGATGGGAACATCTAAACTTCATGAATTTACGATTTCAACTTAATGAATTCACGATATCAACTTCACAAATTCAAGGTTGTGAATTCACCAATTTAACTTCACTAATTCAGCCTCACGAATTTACGATTTCAACTTCATGAGTTCGCGATTTTAACTTCACCAATTCACAATTTAATGAATGTACCTGAAATTGTGAATTAATTCGTGAAGTTGAAAACGTGAATTCACGAAGTTGATTTCGTGAAGCTGAAATTGTGAAATTTTAGTTACACGTTTATGGACCAAATATGTGTGAAAAGAACAGCAATTTCTTTGCAATGTTTTCTTTAACTGTATAAGCACTTTATTTGTAGCTATAAGATTTTCAGTAAGATAAAAATAAATAGCACGTGACTGTCTGGGTGATAGTGGATATTGTCAACCTTTAAACTGTCGTATTACCCCTTCGCCTGCGCTTCGAACACTTGACGCGTTTAAGGAACCCGGTAAGAAATGTCAGAAAAGTTCCATCGTTCATGTACGATTTCTTACACCAAAACAAACATAAATCAGAATTATTTTATCTTGAACCTGTACCCCGTGAGCTTTAAATTATAGTCTAAATAATAGTTTATTTATAGAGCTGAAATTTGATAATAATTTATTCATAAATATTAGTTTATTTATAGAGCTGAAATTTGATTAAAATTTATTCATAAAGCTGAGTTATGAATAAATAGTATAGTATGACAATCTTTAATTTGAATGTATCTGTTAATACATTTACTAAATAATCATACATCTATTTTCTTTAAAAGCGCCCCAAATTACGAATAAAATAGATTTCGAAAAAAGATACAAACTGAAGATAACAAAGATAATTTTCACAAAAGGTAACAAAAATCAACATGTATGTGCAATACAGCAGAATTTACAATTTAATCACCAAAATATTACCCTGTTGCCAAAAAAATGAGAGCCATTTCTGCAAATTTTGAATTGTAATATGTAATTTCTGTTATCTGTAATGGACTACAAATTCTGACGACAAACTTTAAACTGATTTATATAGCTTATCAGAATAATTATGTTCAAGTATTGAATGTATAATATAAGAGTTTACAGAAATCACTACTTAGAATCACTAAAGTACTACCATTAGCTAACAAAATAGGGAAAAACATAGAGAACATGAAAATACATTTACTCATTTAAACAATTCATAAGTTAACTAAAATTAGAATAAATCTTGATGCATATCATTAAAGGAATAGGAATGGATGGATTGATGTATGTCTAATATAAATATTCATCATTTAAAAAGAGGAACCATGACAGTTTTCCTATTGACATCAACCCTATAAGAGAGAAAATCGTGTTTTAAGACACTATTTTTTACTTGAGAAATAAGTTCATGGGCGCCGCCATTTTGGCGTTCTGTCATTCTCGCTAGACAGACGAGACCGAGATTGTGACGTGTAATACCCACTTCCGGTATAGATGTACACGCTGGTACAACTGAAATATATCTTGATGAAGAACTTATTAATTTTATTGCGTACATTATATATTATTTATGAAAACATCATATGGAACTGAATTGCTTTAATTAATTAATTGAAGACGCCGCGACATTACTTATTATTTCTCCGATATTCAAGCTTGCTGATGATCCCACCACATGATTTAAGCAATGACTGCTTAATTTTCAAAGATAAACCATAAATTTAATTTGGGTACTATGAGAAACTTCTTCAAATTGACGATATATCCTTTTATTTTGTACTTAATTTTCGCTAGGCAAGCTGTCCAAATAGGGTGCATCGCCGGTCATGTATCTTTTTTTCAGGTAAAATATCAACTAAATCCAATATATATCTACTTACCAAATTCCTTTCCCCGACAGATACGCATTTCTACTACCGTAAATTTAATCCAATAAAACAAAAAAATCATAAATCTACTTAATATTTAAAATGATTATTGGTAACTGAAAAAAATGTGTTGCTATTTTATGACGTGCTGTAATTTACTACAGTATAATTTGACAGGTGTGGAACCTAATTCCCCCTAAGGTCATTCAGTTCACTGATGAAGCGTAAAAAAAATAGATGTCTATTTCGTCATTAGAATATTTGACAAGGGTGATTAACCAATCAGGGCAACATTGTGCATGATCAAAAGGTCTATCGGCACAGAGGCATACAAGGAGCAATAAAAATCGTCAGTACACAGTGTGACAGGAGCATTTGGTGCAAATTAGGAACAATTAAAATGGACAATGCGCAGAATTAGACATAAGTAGTAAAAACCAGCAATTGTGTGAATAAATTATGCAAATTAGACTTTTGAGCAGCCAATAAAAATGATTTGCCTGCATTTAATATTAGGCTACGATTACGATGCGCAGCATCATACGTTGACAGACATGTTAACAATTTACTTTTCAAAAGAGTTGCTTATATTTTTGAAATGTGTACATCAATTATAACATATGTTCACACCTTTAAATTTGAAAGTCAGAATCAAACTGCAAAAATTTAATTATATGTACTATTAAGAACACGTTTTAGTAGGGTGTTTATAATGGAAGTCGCTAGCGTACGGGCCCGTACGGCTAGCCAAAAGTTTTAGCCGTACGTGAGTTACATACGACTAGCAAGGACACGCTGTATTGGCTAGCCGTACGGCACTTTTCAAAATTTTATGGAAGTCGAAAATGCATATGTTATTTTATGACTTTAAGCGAGGATTTTAACCAAGAAACAGCATTAATTGTCTTTGGATGTTAACTTTTTAGAGATTAATCGCCTTGATCGCTATATATATATCGATCTTTGTCATCGCAAGATGTCGAGAAAAAAAAATATCCTTTGCTTGCATTTACACCAATTGAAATAGTTTACAAAATTTTGATAATAATCCTTTTTTGTTTCATTAAGTTTAATTTTCGACACCTTTTATATGAAAAAAAAACACAACAAACACTGAAAATGATTGTTGTTAGGCTCTTGATAATTGCGATAATTACCGACGGTACTGTATAGAAGTTTGTCCATCAAGGAAAGTTTGCATGTTCCGTGAAAGGCATTCTAAAATTCTATTGTCAGTCCCTGGATAGGTTTTAATTAAGGCTGATTAATTGATTGACTGTGCTTTTATGTTCGATATTTATCTACTGTTTTGAAAATTATATAATTATTTTTGCATTTCACCGTTTTTTTTTTTTTTTCATTCAATGTTCTTTTTATTTATTTATTCCACTCCGATCATTTTTTATTCGATCCATGTGCTTAAAATTAACAAAAATGATTTAATAATTTATACAAATAAAACAACAAATGATAAGCATGAAAATCAACAATTTTATAACGTTCGACTTCCATATAATTTTGAAAAGTGCCGTACGGCTAGACAATACGTACAGTGCGTCCTGGCTAGTCGTTCGTGACTCACGTACAGCTAGAACTTTTGGCTAGCCGTACGTTTCTTTATTTTTTATTTATTTTTTTGATATTGTTACGTATTTTGAACCATAAAAAAATCTCCTCTACACCTCCTGTGAAAATTAAATTGTCTGGTCATTAATATTTCCTTACGATTCAACTAGATTTATCATGAATCTAAAGATGTGGGGAAATGACATCACGCGCACCTGTTTTTATACGGCCAATACACAAACATGGCCGCGCTTACTGATTTGTAGAAATCGGTGATTTAGCGATTTAAATTTTGTTATCATTCGTTTAATATTATTATTTGGCGGCAGAAAATTTGCAGACTTATTATTTATAGTATTCTTTTTCTGAAATCAAGTTTTTATTCTAACCTTGTCTTTCCCTTTAAATAAACGAGGGAGAAAACATAATTGATTCTCCTACAAATCAAGTATTGTAAAATAAAATTGAAGAGTTGTCTCTCTTAGATTGGACCCATCAGCTGTTATACCAATTAACAGGAAACGATGTACTCACAAATTTAAAATTCATGAGATGTCCGTGATGTCTTCAAAGTTGCTCCAACAATAGTAAGCTACTGTAAGTTAATTGTAAGTTTCCTCTTTATATAATTTGTCAAGTACGAGCATGCATTTTCTAAGTAGTAACAAAATCGCGAGTTATCTTCCTGTTATGCCCAAACAGTGGTAAATGACAAATGGATGAAATACACCCACATTCACAACTCAGCCGAGGAAGCCCCATATATCTCTATAGATATAGCAATTTATCTTTGTTATGTAAAGGATAAAATAATATGTGTACAATACGTAAAAATAAAAAATGATCATGACATGGTTGTTTCTTTTTGCCGCTTATATTTTCCATATGTCAATTATTTGTGCTCAAAGATTTAGTAAATTATACCACCGTGTATATCAAGAAACGCAAGAATGTAAGTGTAACATAGAAATGTAAAAAAAAATATCCCTGACAGCGTCTTCATCGCTAAATAAGATAAAAGTGTACAAAGTTACAAAGACAGATGATAATGGAATTTGAACATATTGGAGTTGACTTTAACGTAAATACTCAGTCGAAAATTGGGCATATTTATATTAAATGGTTTGATACAATGACCTCTTCCTGTGTACTTATTTTGGGCATGACGGTAAACAAATGTGCAAAGCTTTAAATCCAGATGTCAATGGAATTGGAAAATATTTTAATGTGGAAACCAGATTTTTACATAGATTGTTAGTTAGAAAAAGGGCATAATTTGGTC